AGCTCTGTATCGTATGCAGTCGTTAATATTCGTGGAGCAAAAGCAAGACGAAGGCCGCACTTCGAACCAGGTCAGAAGCTCCGATGCGAGACGCCGCAAGTTGTCGAGTTGTGTCACCGGCGGGAAATCTTCGGCAGCCCTTGACACATCCGCGCAGGCAGTGGCAGGTCAGCGCGAGAGAGCAACAGACTAGTCTAACACCAATATCTACGAGTTACAACAACAGCAACAAATGACATTTGGTATGCGGATTTAAGTTGGACCACGTTTCCTCCACCCCAATCATCCCACTGCAGACACCGCAATAGCAACCGGAACAAAGTACAAGGCCCACGAGCGAAAGGCTCTAAGGTCAGATCAAGCACCCTCTCTGCTCTTGCGATAGTTGCTCTCCTGCTCAACCTGGAGCTGATCGATCTCTGGGGCCAATTCAGACAGGATCTCATACGCCTTTTTGTGGTACTCTAGTTGCGCAGCAATCAGGTCCGCCAGGTTGCGGAGTGGTTCGGGGGTATCGAGCACCTACGAAGGTTAGTTTCGTCGAGGTGTCAAGGCGTCATATACACGGGATAGACTCACATTCTTCATTACCCCCTGGGCTTCCTCGACCTGCGAGACAAACTCGTCTTCCTTGGCCTCAATCTCCGCACGAGCATCCTCGCTCAGGGCGGTCTCATCATCCGGATTCATGCCGCGACCCTGAATCTGACCTTTCTTGGCCGCCTTAGTGCTGTCCAACAGCAAACGACTGTTCTCGACCGCCTTCCTTGCCTTGGTCGCGAATTGAATGTTTGTGTTCAGCGTGGTGCTCCATCCAGCAAGAAATCGCGACTGGATGGCCTGGTCCTGCGCCAACCGAGCTTCGCCCACTTTCTCTTCCGCGAGCGCATATTTCTCCAAGGCATTTGCAAGTGGGTCTTCGCCGGTCCCCGAGGTGTTGGACTGCTTGATGAGCTGGGAGCTTGCGAGCGAGGCGCGGGCAATGGCATGATTGAATGTTTTGGGTTGAGGCTTTGCCGAAGGGGGAGCAGTAAAGGCAGTTGCTGCTTCGGATGCGTTGTGGGCTTTGGAGAGCAGCGTCACTTTCTCCGAGATGCTGCGACCAAGATCACCGAAGGATTCGCGGATATTGGGAGGGTAGTCGTAGGCTTCATTCTGGTATTGCTTGCTAGACGGTTGTCAATGGAACATCTCGGCGCAGATCATGGGAGTCGTACGTGACATCAAGGAGCTTCTGATGGACTTGCTTCAAAGCATCAACTCGTTTCTCAAGCTCGATGTAGTCCGCAGGCAGTTGTGTCTGAGAATCTCTTGGTCAGCGGAGGTCGCTCAGCCATCGAGTATTGTTGATAATGCGGACCTTATCTTCAGCATTTCCAAATTGCTCCTTGAGGTACTGTTGACTTCGTTGCCAGGACGGAGTAACTGTCGAGTTGAATGCCGTACTAATAGCACCCATTCAATCAGTGGGAATTCGAGGCTGGGTTATTTGATCGAGGATTCATGGGATAAGGGGGGGCGTACCTGATATTCTTGCCAAAGGCAGAGAACTTGTCCATGGTTGCAACAACTTGCTCAAGACCACAGCGACAACGGGAGACGACGGATCCAAGGGAGGTCTGTAGTGTAGCTCAGAGAAACCAAGGGTAATGGATGGAGGGCAGTGGGTAAAGGGCAATGCAGGCAGTTTGTCTGTTGGATGATCAGGGAGACAAGGCGGATGAGATGCAGTCTGACATCGGCCAAACGGGCGCCGGGGGCGTGTGGGGGTCAATCCTGCTCACATGTGCGCCTCACTACGGCAACCCACAAGATTGTTTGGTCCTCTCTCTACATAGGTACCCCGTACATGGATATGACCCCTAGAGCGCCCGAAACAGTCTCAGGGAAATCAATCTCTTTGGCATCCAAAGGCATCTGAAATGGTGGTTATAAGCTGAGATTGAAAACTGAAGGTATGTAACGTAGTCATCCAACTCATGTCTATCTCCAAATTTCAGAACTTGAATCCTCCATCCACAGTCCAACAACTTCACATATGAGATTCGTTCATAGCTGTGTATCATACCAGCCGTCGTTTTCCAAACCCTCAAGCTCATTCCGTATACTTTGCAGAGTTGCCTCGAAACTTGTCATAGATCGATCATACCAAATCCAGTAGAAGGATAGGCGCAGATAATGTGAATGGTACCCCCGTCCCCTCCCTGGAGTTTCTTCAGAAGGGCTGTTCACCAACACCAAATTGTATGCGCTTCCCTGAAGTGCTTTTCAGGTCAGAGTGGCCATCATGGCCTTGATGATAGCCGGGCTTGGTGCAGCCGAGCGTGAGCGACCTGTCCAACGCCGGTCAATCAGGAAAACTTTGTTCATTTGACAATCAACGACATCCTACCTCGCCGATCCTTCTTGACTTCGAGAACCTCGTCGCCCCTTCTTTCAATGATGACCTCTCCTCGAGGCGATGGAGATCTCTCACGGGCTCGTTCGATCTTGATGATTTCTCCACTTTCGCGCTCGTACCGCCTCTCGCGCCTCAACTCTCGCCTTTCAGCCTCCAGCCTGCGGATTTCTTCCTTGATATCTCGCTCACTGCGGTGTGGCTTACGATCGACCACCAGTGCGAGCGGGCCGACATGAACCGAGTTGGAATCTTCGACTTCTTCTCGAGTGATTCTTCGCTCGATGATCGTCTCATCGCTGACAGACGACCCTCGGCGGTGCGTGGTGTGAGATCGGTGTGTTCGTGCGGGAGAGACTTCCTTGATCACTTCCTTCTTCTCCACAACAGTCTCCTTGAAGACTTCAGGCGAAGATCCACGGCGCGACCGTCTTCGTGACCGTGATCGATGAGACTTTGTGGGGGATGGAGACCGGACGGAAAGGCCATCCCAATCGCGCACGGAGCGGGGTGCGTCTGCAAGTGGCACAGTCTTGATCTCCTCCCTTTTCTCAGTCTTTTCAATGATCACTTCGCCTCCATGCACGCTAGGTGCGCGGATACTGGGGGCTATACTGGGCGGAGCTTCAATGAGCCGAGTCGTTGTTACTGCAACTCTCAGATATCTGGTTCACGAAGAAGTGACGCTGGGAAAAGCTTACCTTCTCTCTCACGATATTCCTTGCTCTTCGTGAAAATCTCATCGATATTGTCGGGACCCAACGCCTTCTCAATGATGATGGTTCGGTCATCCTGCAACCGTCAGTATTGTTATGCTGATCTGGACAATCAGACATTCTCACCTCTTCATAGTATGGGTAGCCCAGATCAAACAACACTTTAGTGTGGACGAGTCTTTTTGGCATACGTGTCTTGCCTCGTCGTGGATATGGCTTCTCCTCAATTATCTCCTCCTTGCGTTCTTCAATGATTTCTTCTTCCCTCAAAATACGGGGCCCCGGAGAGGGGCTGCTGTTTCTACTTCTTCGTTTGACCCATTCGCGCTCCCGGTATTCCCTGAAGCCATCATCACCGTAGTATTCGGGGTCTTGCACGCGGATGTCCTCGTAGAACTTTTCGTCATAATGAGGATACCGTCTGGGCGAAGGGGGCCGAACTTGGATCAGTTCTCGTGGGGGAAGCCCCCGTTGCGGTCGGTGGCCATCGTCGTAGTCATCCAAGCGTCTGGCTGGCCTGCGGTCGAATGTGTCCAGGCTCGACTGACGGCGGATGATGCCCGGCCGTGGGATTGGATCAGGTCTGGCTGGTCGTTCAGGAGCGTACGGCACGATCTGACCTCGTTGCGCTCGTGGATCATAGTAGTCGGTCTCCTCAAAGTACTTGCGTTCGCTGGCACCGCGAGGACCATATCGGTCTTCCTCATAGTATCTCTGGTCCTCGTAGACTGGAGCACGGCGGGGTGGGTAGTCGGCGTATGGAGGACGTTGTTCAAGGACCGGTGGAGCCGGAGCGCGCACTTCTCGTTCACGCACAAACCGCTCGGCATCCCACCTCTGGGGAGCAGGGTCACGATACGGGAGATTGCCCTCAGAGTAGCGAGGATCACTGCGATACCTAGACATAGCTGCGGCGTGAATGTCCCTGGTTGGAAGAGGATTGTCGGGTAGTGATCCTGGATGGGCGATTGGAGAGGATGAGGCTAACGAACAAGACGGTCAGCGACCGCCGACACTCAATTCCTCCCGGGCGAGATGGCTGAGCAAATGAAAGGAAATTTTGCTGTCAAGGAGCGGACAACAATCAATATGAAGAGTCTTTACAGAGGAGTCACCGCGGGATTGTGACGATCACACTACTTCAGTACGAATTGATTGGGGGGCACAGTGGGTTGAAGAGGCACCAGAGAGGAAGGGAATCAAGGGTGGCAGTGAGTTGGGCTGCTGATGACGTCGCCACACTGTCTCTTGTTTATTGGGCTATTGGGCACCACCCACCACCAACAACCACTAATACTTCCTTAGTTAGGCACTTTAGGGACACTTTATTACCACCAGTAGGCAAGGCAACAAGCACCCCCAGCCTCCTGTGCCCTTTGGTGCGCAGAGACCCAGTTTTGGGCAGCACTTTGAGACTCATTTCACTGCTAGGTACTTTGTAGAGCTCCAAGGTGGCGTCTGTGTACTCGCCGAGGCCCTGGGTACGTTCCACTTTGGTACGATTAATTGATCCTTCAGCTATGTAACTCGGTATCTAGGTAGTCAGCCCTTGAAGGCCAACACGTCCAATACACAGTACTGATAAGCAGCAAACTTTTGGAGGTTAGCTTGGGACAGTGGAACTCATCCTTATGAAGACCTTTGCTCTGCACCTCCAGCTCCATGTGGTATCTCACGTCCGACAATGTCTCAATGACAGCGAGTCGCCATATCTCCAGGACGCCTGTTCTTCCAGCCTTCCCGACAGTACAAAAAGCATGCCACCCCCATGGTTCCATGTTCACATTGCGCCTGACCACATTGGCTCACGTCATATCGCCCTGCTTTCGAACGCCGGCAACATTGTCATGAATCGTAACGCCATGCTTGTCCTAGAGCAGACATGCTTAGTTCTCTTTTCCGTTGGTGCCAGTTGCAGCAGCGCTGTTTGCACCTCCCGTAAGTTTGGCTGCCTGAACTGCACTCATCTTGTGTGCCCACCCTGGCGCAGGTTGTGGTCGTCGTACGGTACGAATCTCGTCGGTGGAATATCCTGGCACACGAATGTTGTATTGACGCTCGAGAATGATTTGAATATCGCGAAGTTCGAGGCTTGACGACCCGCGGAGCTTTGCAAGCTTACACGCTGCTGTGACAAGGTCGTCGACAAAGTCATCGGCAATTGAGAGGAACAACTGAAAATAGTCAACACAAAACTAGCTGCTTCGAAACAAGCGCAAGCTTACCTCTTCGGCTTCAGGTTCGAGCTGCTCCTCCGAGCCAGCGCCGCAAACCTCGCGCACCAATTCATTCAATTTCTTCTTGGACAGAACTCTCCCATCTTCGCTCGATTCCAACACGTATCCAGGCAACGCGGTGATGGCAGGCTGCGCCAGCTGTCCAGGCAATCCGACCCCAGCACCGCCGGTCAAGGTTGGTCTCGACGGAGGCATGGTGACAGGTTTGGGCTCGGGAACCTGTAAATTCTTGGTGATATTAGGTGTTGCAGTCTTGATGCCGTTGATGCTGGTATTTAGTGGGTGAGGATGGACGCCAGCGGAGGCAGAGTGTTGCAAAGGAGGCATCGTTTGACCTTGATGGGAAGGTGGGCGAGGGCCTGCAGATGTGTCTCCTGGAACGGCTTGGGGCAACTGCGCCTGCGTTCCTGTAACGGGAGTATGAGAAGTGCCGACACCAGCGTTGGGATTGACTTGAGGAACAGATGATGTTGGACTGCCCGCTTGAGCTTGTGAGGAGTTCGCTTGGTTACGCGCGGCGGAAACAGCACTACTAATGGAGTGGGCAGTTGGCCCTTGAACGCCTGGCTGCATCAGAGGTGCGGCAGTGGTTTCTGCTCCTTCACTAGTGGGAACAGCTTGTTTTGAGAATTGGTGTTGAGGTTGCGCGGCTCGAAATTGTTCCTGCTGTTCGTTGAACTTCTTCATGAATGAGGTACTTTCGTTGATTGCCCGGTCACACTGCGAAATCTTGTTGTTGTAAACCTCCGTTTCCGCGGCAGTCAACGGGTTCCCTGCTGCCTGTCGCTGCTGGGCCTGACGCTGGAACTCGGCTCTTTTCTGCTTGGCGACTTGAAGTCTCTGCAAAGCCTGACCCAGCCTTGCCTTTGCCTCGCGCAACCACAGTTCAGCAGGCTCGGTGCCTTTGGTCATTGCTGGAGGGTAGTAGAAGTGTTGCTCGTTGACTTTACGTTGGATTTCAGGGAGGAGTTGACCGAACTGTACAGCGCTACTTCCGCTCTGACCAGATCCAGCGCCGGCTTGTGCTTGACCAGGTTGGCCTGCGACTTTCGGTACCTGCCCTTGCGGTTGCGGTTGCGGCTGCGATTGCGGCTGCGGCTGTGTCTGTGTCTGAGTCTGTGCCGAGGCTTGCTGTTGTGCTGCGTTTTGTTGGGCCATCTGTTTTCGTTGTTGCCATTGTTTCATCCCGGCCATGAGTTGGCTCGAAGTCTTGACAAGGTTGGTGTATGCTTCATTGTATTTGGGATCCGTCTGTGGAGTGGTGTTCAAGATTTCCCAGAACCTCCTCACGCCTTGTTCAAACTGCTGTTTCTGAGTCGGGTTGAGCTGGGGCAGTCTCTGGACTTGCTCGGGACGGATCAAGGACGCCTGCTGTTGCGGTGCGGGCTGCGTGGGCCGATTCTGAGCGGCGGGGTCCATATTGAGGCAGATGAGATCGACAGAGATGCGAAAAAAGAGGGCGACAGATCGAGAAGAAGTGTCCACGTCAAATGATTCGTGTCCTCTCGACTGAGTCTGCACCAAGAATAATAGAAGAGGGAGAGACACTCTGGGTAAGTAATGGTCACTTCATCTGCATTGCGAAATAGTCCATGCCGCTCAACGTTCAGCAAGGTGATAGTATGGAAGATCGGGGCATCAAAATGTCCTGACAACGAAAGAGAAAGAAAGAAGCAGAACGCGTTGAGTCGTTGAGTCGACTATGTCGCGCATCGGTGAGGGAAGTTATAGCGAACAGTTGGAAAGGCCCCTCCTGCTCCAAAAGCATTCAAACTTGGCGGTCGAGCCTCGTGCTCTCAGCCTCGCAATCGGCTTCGGCAAAGTTGTCTTTCCTGGATGCAGCCACGTGAGGACAGCCTTGTCAGTCTCCGTGAGAACGTGGATCGGATTGGGGCGTGTACATATACCTACGAGCTAGGTATATGTGTGGGACGGACAATGTCTTGCTGTGGAGCAATCGCAAGGGACCAAGTGAAACTAATTGCTTGCAGTTCTGTGCACAAAGCAAGCTTTCTGCATATCTATGGACTTACACTGGAAGTTTTCCGCCACGATACCACATTATCGAGAGGTTGTTGACATGCATGGCATGCTGGGGTATTGCCCAAACCCACCTAGGTTGGTTCACGACAAGCCTGTACTGCATCTTGGGCTACTGTGTTTGCAACATCCCAGTGAGTAACCAGAGACCTCTTTCAACGCCATGCTAGAAAAGGTTTCTTCCAACCAGCAAACAATGCACGTAATTTGTCCTTCATATCCCATGTACTCATCAAATCGTACACATAGTCTTGACCTCTTCAACAACGGCCGTCAGCATCCTCAACCCATACATGCCCGCTACCCGTTCCATGACCTTCAGCCTCCCCTTCACGTCTCTCAGATCTGCTGTTGCAATCCATTCTCCGCCACATGAACAATGATCTGCAAATACACTGTCGTCGCCCTGCAAGCCACTGCATTTCTTACATTTGATATCTTGTGCCTGCCAAGTCAACACCATTGACTGAACTCTCGCGATGAGTTTCTCCTCCAGCATGATTTTGTTGTACTCTGTCCCACAGCTGTTGCAGGTCCAAGGTTTATTATTTGCCACCACCCCATCTTCGTTCACATCTGGTAGAATATCCTCGTCTCGGCACAGATCCAAATCCCTAGTCATGGTACATGTGTCGCAGACAAGATTCTCGAAGCGCAAACTCGCACTGGGGTTTTCGAATCGGGCCTCCTTCCCAAACTCCCGGACATCGAACAGGGCCAGGAGCTCTTTGCGGAGAAGTCGTGCTTCAAGCTGAAGGGGCTTCGACAGCGAGATTATTTGCATGAGCGATTTCACCAATTCAAGGACTGGATCATGTGGATTGCGCACATCACTGGATTCTAGAGTCCCTCCTGGCAAAGATGGGAATGTCCAGTCGCTGGCCAGTTCGGGGTGTAATAACTCCTCCCGTTGACGCCGAATTAAGCCTGTGATTTGCTTCTTCAAGGGCTTGGAGAACGGATCTTGCAGGACAGATGTAATCTCGGTGCTGGTCGGGTCCTCTGTCAGACTGATGAACGGAGAAGGTAGTTGAGTGGGTCGAACAGTGGATGGTGTGCTCTCGGATGATATCTGTGGTCTTTTCAAATTCTGCATCAACTCGATAAAGACGATCACCCAGTCGTCGAAAATGGGTTGCAATGGAAGTGGTAAGAACTGTGAAAGTTGCCAGTGCACGACAGTCTCGAGACTGGAGTGATTGGTATTCTCTGTGACTGTGGAAGTGCCTTTGCCGCCATAGTTGTACGCGTCATACCAAAGCAGGATGTCCCAGTAGTCTTTGACCTCAAGTCCGAGGAAATGGAAGAGAGGCTTTTGTTGAATCGATTTGAGAATATACTGAGAATACGCATATGCATTTTCGACGTCTTGCTTCGACGTTTGCAGAAGTAGTCGTGTTGGGCTCGCAAAAACAACCTGTGAGCCTACTCGGCGGAAATCAGTGATGAGTTGTTGCAGCGCTTTCTTCGACATCATTTGCACATAGTAATGGAGGTGTCGATCGTAAAGGCACGAAGCCGGAGCCTCAACCCATCGGACTAAATGCTGAACCATTACGTCTGCGAGTCGATGACCACGACAAGCTTCCGCCCACCATGACTTGACCATCTCGCGGAGGACTTCCAGCGCTGCCTGCGCAAACCCTCCGTTCGACCTCACCATGTTGGAGTTGAGGGAATTTTCTTCGTCGCCGGTCGGGTTAAAGGCGACTGCCTCTGTAGAACCCTCATGGTCGTTGATTATAGATGAGGTCAATATGGTGTTGATCGCTAGATTCTGCACCGTTACGTCCACACAGACAGATGTGTAGGCACCTGCGTTGTTGATCGAGGGCATCTCAACGATTTCGTTGAGTGGGCCCAGAATGTCATCACGTTCGTGTCCACCATGGTCCGGGCGAGCTTGGTCAGACCACCATAGAACGACGTTGCTCCGCTTTAACCTGCGTGCATACGCCAGATCAATGAGGAATCGAGGGTCGTCCTTTTCAAGATTGCAGAGAGGTACATCTCCGTATCGAGCAAGCTCGATCAGATGCACCAACCACCCGGAAACATTGAAATAGTGGGAGACGAGCTGCTTGATCGCATGACCCTGCCAAGCTAAAGAAGGGAGATCCATGTCAGATTGATCTGCTGGCAGGAAAATGATAGGATATTCCCTGAGGGATCGGACGTCGTGGATCAAGGACTTATGCGTGGTTGTCTGAAGGAGGAGTACCGCCGGTTTCGCCTCATCTGCGCGCCACTTCTTCAGAATATCCGCAAGCTCAAGATGTGCTTTCCTTTTTGTTGTCACTTGTGACACCTTAAAATTTATGCTGGGTTGATAATCGAAGACAGCCTGCACATTAGCCTCGTCCTGAACTTTCTGACGATATTGTTCAGCGTATATCTTGTCAGCATTTGGTATTTGGGTGTCCCGCGTTCGACTCATAATGATGATATGTGCTTCTGATTTGGTGGTCGAGAACAGCGCAAAGACATTCCTATCACCGGCAGAGACATGATACAAGTAGATATACCCTAAGGAGTTGGGTTCTTCTAGGTACGTCGACTGGCCATCACTCCTGAGAAGTGATGCTAGATCAAACCCTTGTTCAAGGCCCTTTCCGAGAACACCTTTCTGAGTTTCATCGAAGGAGCACATATTCCCCAGTTTCAGAAGGGCGCGCATAAATAGCGGAAACTGACGTTCATAGACACCTTCAACACTGGGATGGTTGCACAATAAAGACACTGACTCCGCTTCTCGCAGGTAGGTCTCCTCGGGCATGGTTAACTGAAACAAATGAACTGATGGATGGCCGTTCGGCAACACATGGCTGACCTTTTCGACATCGCAGCCGGGTATATCCACGTTTGGAAGCTCTTCTCCCTTGAGATTCAGATACAAGGTGCGGGGGACTTTGATATTCAGTGTGTGGATCTTCTTGCCAATGACAACAAATGCTGTCACTTCTCCAGGCAAATCTCCTTGACGTAACTGTAGAACGTGCCAGGTATTGGTGTACATCATTTCGGCCTGGTTGCGGAAGAAGCTACTGATTGAATCTGTGGCAACATTGGGTCTTTCCCCGAACAATTGACGCCGACGTGCCTTGGCTTGCTTTTGCGACCTCCACTTATTCTTCTGATACTGGAGCCAGCCTCGATAGTCTTCGTCAATCAAAGGAGCTTCAGAAGGGAGAACTGGAAGAGAATCAACAAGACCACGACTTGTTGATTCCGGGGCTTTTCGTTTTGCGGGTTTGGTAACTTCCCCGGGGGTTTTGAATTGATTGTTGAGGACGTCTTCGATGTCTCCACTGGCAGGAAGTCGATGATCCAAAAGATTCACAGAGCGCTCGGTAAGGGGTCTTTTCTCGAGGAGATCGGTCATCTTTTTCTGTTTAAACCTGTCGTCCTTTGCAGTAATGCGCTTTTGCAACCAGTCGGGATGCGCAACACGTGGCACAGGGTTCCTGATCTTCTGCAAAGCAGCAGGAATTGTGATGAGCTTCTGTATGACAGAGCCGAGGCGCTCCAGGTAGTAGTCCCAGTCTATTACAGCTCTGGGATCCATTTCCGCTGGATCCTCCTTCAGCCATTTTCGCAAGAAGAAGCGTTTAACGCTATCGTCCGCTGAAAAGATCGCGACAGGAATGGCGCGTTCTGTAACAGGTGTGTTCCTGGGTTTGGCCGAGATGATATACTTGCAGTTTAGACCTTTGTCCTTGATCATCTGGTCTCCCAGAAATTCCGCCAATCGTTTTGCTGTTGTGATTGAAGTTGATTTCTGGCTTCCATACTCTTCGAGAGTCTTGGTCATGCTTTTATTTTCGCAAATCAAATCAATGAGCTCTTCATCAGCAAGCGTGGACCCGTGTGAATGTAGGACGTCAAGCCAGCGGTTGGCTACACGAGCCACTGCTCCGTAAGTTTCCGCCAACGTGCTGCCTTCCAGGAAAAACTTGAAAATCTGAGTCTGGAAAATTTTGATGAGCTTCAGCTCGCCTCTTCGCTTAACCTCGAACCCTTTCAACTCGGCAAGACTCCCGTCATGATTGAACACCGCGTAGCGTTTCTTCAGGTTCTTGTCTTCCTCCTTTGAGGTTGGGAGGATCATGGCTTTGTAAGGACCATCAACCTCAAAGAAGATTGAATTATCGCTGTGTGTTTCATACTTGAATGTAGCCGGGTCCACCAGACTCTGGTACTGGTGGTTTGTAAACCGTGCGTGAACCAGATGGTTGAGCATCACGCAAGGATAAGAAATTGCCATCTTCTTGCCATTTTTCAACGTGAATATGACATTCTCCGGGAACGTCGCTGGAAGCATACACCAAATCCCATCGGTGTCTAATTCCAACGGCCGGCCAATTCGTTCCACAAGTTCTCGCGCCATCTGGATAATATGCGCTCCAGTGAGGCAAGTGACGCCCGCCATTTCCATAGAGTACCATCTGGATCCTTTGCGCATGACGTATCCGTAAAAAGAGTTGAGAATGACCTTGTGAGCAAGTTGCAAAGAGTCGTAGAGGACAATCATCTTTTTGGCCTCTTCGATCTCCTGAGCAGATGCTGCGGAAGACTTGAGTGCTTCTGTCTTACCCTTCCAAACCTTCTGTTTTCCCTTGAAGTCGTACCGCCTGTCTCGAAAGTCACGGACGGTGTCGACGTAGAAAGGGTTCTCTCTTTGGCAGATGATGGCCTCCCGTTCGATGGTTTTCGAATCGTGGATCTTGTGGTAGATCTTTTTGGAATATTCTTGAAGTCTTTTCCGCACCATTGCAGCTTGCTCGTCCAAGCTCAATTCTTGGAATGTTCGTCTCGGTGCTTTGGGACTTCTCCCAGGAAACGTCTCATTTGCCACTGCTCGGCGTATCATGTTGTATTCGTCTCTCTTGGTAGGCAGGAACTCGCCTCTCCATGCCCAAGGCAATCGGCGATCACATGTCTTCCCAGGTCGATTGAAGTCGCAGGCGGCACAATCTGATTCGGCAATCATAGAATCAGGTTGAAGGCGATTAGTCGTCATAATGTTGGGATACATGGACGCAACATCCAGATGGTATATCAGAGGCCGTTCATTCCTGTTGGGTGTATTCTTCAGATCTTCTAATTTTTCAACAATCTGTGCTCTGATTTCTTCATAATTCGTAACATCGTCCAACGATTTCTTCTCTTCGACCGTGATGCAGAATTTCAAGGCTGCATCGAGATCGTTCAAGAGTTCATCAATCGCTGTCGTGTCGATGGCAAAGTTGACAGGTATGTCCGCACGGAAGACGCCGGCCTCAATGCTCTCAACATGCCCGCCAACGTACGTTTCAGACTCGAGTAGATGCCCCTCCCAGAAAGCTTCCCTCGGTTCTTTGTGCTTGTTGGGCAGGACAATGTTTTTCTGATAGGCCTGGACCATCAATAACATCTCGCATAAAGTGCCTGTTCCTTTCCGTAGTGTATCGTCGGGATTGAGCGGAAGAATTGTGCAAAGTGAAAAGATAAAAGGGTGGATGTACTTCATGTAAAGATAATATGTCGCAACAGCGTCAGAAACGGAGTATTCCGCAAGAATTTGAGGATGGTCGTTGGCGTAGGGGGTCATAAGTTCAGGATCGAGCTCATCAGGATCGTAGCCTAGCTTTGCAACCGTGACAGCTTTCAGACCACGGCTGCCTTGAGGAAGGTAACTATCTCTGTTGACCCAAGCAAAGCAGTCCATGTGGACGCAGTAGTTGCTCTGGTAGATATCTTCACTGTTCCTGCGAAATCCGATTTCAGCATACATGTCGATGCCATTCACCCCAGCCCTAGCTTCGACAAAGGGCCAGTCGAAGAAGTCTCCGTTGTATGTCGCAATAACGGTAGGTCGAGCTGCCTTGATATGGGAGAAGAACCGTTCAATGCACGCGCGTTCATTTGGCTCGTTAAATATCAGAAACGGTCCTTCGTATTCCACCTTCGGGGTGTAGTCAAAATCGGCAATATCTTCCGACACGATTTCTCTGTTGGTGATGAGAAAACCCTGCCCATCGATCATGTATGAAATCATCATAATTTGATCGATGACTGGATCAGGAAACTTTAAGGGTAGTTTTGTCGTTTCGATATCGAATGCGAGGACAACGGGATCAGCTCGCTGCAAACGCTCTTCCAAGCACGTCAGGGAAACTGAGCCGTGAGTGGACTCAACGATGTACCATTTGCCAATTCTGATGTCCTTGTCGATGGTAACGCGAACATGGTATGGAACGTCATATTCCCGAATGTCCACAATGTAGTCGCTGGCATCGGCAATCCCATTGGGGCGAGCGTCGGTTACTTGGTCGTCGTCGTACACATCAAAGCCCGCTGCCGCACTGGCGACCTCCGCGTATGTATCCATCGCATTCACTTTCTCTTTATTCCTTTCCGCAATGGGCAAGAGTGTCTTGCGAACAGTGAGCAGGTCCGAGACGTTCGCGAATGTGAGTTGGAGAAATGTTCGCTTGTATCCAAGCAGGTGGTTGGGCATTTGGAGATCTTCCTTGGTAACGCGATTGACCGATTTAACAAGACCTTCAAACATTCTCTTGCACCACTCCTCGACGTCGGCTTCTCGGCCGCGTTTCACAGCCAGCAAGAAGTACGGGTCATAATCAACCGTTGCCTTGAAGTTGTCGCCGTCTTCTCCAATGAAGTAGAAGTCAACTCCAGCGCGGCCACCCGGTACTCTCGGGTCTTCAATCGAGGTACTGTGCATGTTGTAGAGCCATCCTACTTTTCTCTTTCCCGAGTCATACCTCGGGAAGCCCATGGCTTCGTCGATGCTGTTTGCCAGGCGCGTGGCTTGGAGTTTCTCATCCTGGGAGGTTCCCTCGGTGGTGCGCAGGGTGGAGGCATCGATCGTCTTCGTTCGCCGCCCACGAGGGGCATCCTTCCCTAGTCTCACGTTCGAGCCATATCGAGACGGTTTTCGGACGGGCATTGTCGACGGAGGTCCGAGAAGAAAGACCGACTTATCCTCGTGAACTGTGTCACATAAGATACAAAGTCATGTTAGGTACCCTTCGCTATGGTTCGCAGCACGCAGAACTCAGGTGATCTATCTGTAGTCGTATGCTAAGATTTGTCTCGAGGAAACTTGATTGTTGGACGCGTCTCAATTAGAGCGCGTGGCGCGTGTCGCGTAGGGCGGATCGTTGGGTCGCGAAACGTCGGTTCATTTTCTCCACATCCATCGTCTTTCTCCGCAGCTTTTCTCGATCATCGTTCAGTCACTACATCGATCTTTCCCAATGGCGGATGATACGCGGCAGCCTGACACTTCACCTGCTGATGAAAAGCCCCAGTCAGATGCCCGTCCTTTCACACGACCGAAGCCCAAGCATGACTTCCCAAAAACCCAAGCTGGGAAGATGTGGGAAATGCTTGGAAATCCTGCGGAGCCCGCAAATGCCTTGCCTGGAGGAACGTACAACTCAGCAGGCGGTAAACCTCCCGAGGTGACTTGGAGAGATGCCTTCAACTTCTCGTACGAAGGAAAAGGCCCTTCATGGTACCAAGTACCTTGCGCAAGAGATGCACTGCTTGTCGGAATAGCTTCTGGGGGGGCAGTCGGAGGTGTTAGATTTATATTGAGAGGTCCTCGAGTCACCCTTCCTTGAAACTTGAGCCTTTGTGTCTGACTTGTTTCTAGGGCTCTCTTCTATGTTGATTACCACCAACCTGGCAGTCGCTGGATTTGCACTCTCGGCCTCCGGAATGTACTACTGGTGCGACCAAAGACGACGCGAGGAAGCTAGAGGCATGGCAATGGCTGTTCAGGGCATGAGGATGCTTCATGAGAAGAAAGCCCGGGAGAAGGCAGCTGAGGAAGCTGCGCGGGCAGCCGCAGCCGCAGCCGCAGCCGCAGATATTGAGGAGCAGGAACGGAAACGGAGAGCTCACTGGTACAAATTCTGGTAAAGGTATTGCTGTCTTAAGGATGAACAGTTCGTGGCGCGCGGCGTTCACTGCCTGACGGTGGAAAGGAGTCCTTGCAGGGCTCAACGCGTGTACGATATGGTACTTTAATGATGGTTGTCTTAGGTCCGAGGGTTTGGAGGAAAAATCGGCCCTCTCACACATTTGGCTGATCTCAGCCGTCGTGGAAATGAACACGGGCGGTCTTACGAGGCGAGGACTCGATGGTTAATGGGTTTTCGTCTTCGTCGAGACCTCGTTTTCTCCTCTCACTTCTCTGTTGTCTCGCTTCTCGCGCCTCGCGATTCTTGTAGTCGGACAGTTGCTGTTTCCGCCGCTGCGATCTTGACCATGCCACTGCTGCTGTTGGTTTGAAACCGATGCCGTTTATCCCATATCCGTCGTCACTCGGGTCGTCGGGATCATGACCAGTGATCTCAGAATCTTGCCAAAATCCATGAGACAACTCACTTGCCATGGGCGAAGATTTGGAGCGGGATAGATTTCCTGGTGTCTTTGTCGGGTCGGTAGTAGGGGTGGGATCAGCTTCTGTCAGACTTTCTGGTATTTGCTCGTTCTCTAGTGTCGCAATGTCCCCATCGTGGTCAGGTGCTCCAGTCGATGATATTACAGGAATCGTGAGGAGTCTGTGCTGCCTCTCACTGGTGTCGTGATTTTCCTGATCCTGACGACCGTGGATTTCGAGGTCATCCAACTTCCGCGCGACTTTGCTTCGAGGACTACCTTCGTCATATTCTTCCAAATCGCTTTCACTCAAAAGCCGAGGTCCGGGCGTCTCCGTATCCAAGGGGTGAAGGTAGCCTCGCTTTCTCTTGGGGGAAGTTGAGGTCATCATGTACGGACTTCGGAGGACAGTTCAAATAAGACGGTCATGCGCAATAAGGGCAACTCCCACAGATCTATCCAGCAGTCACCGTGGGTAATGTGTAAGTCTCAGCGACTCATTCACCTGCGCTTTATAGAACGACATGGATCTAATGACACATGTGAAGCGTAAGTACTGGAGTGAGAGGTTGACAGTGACACAACGTCCTCGGCCAATAGATGTTGCGGCGAGTTAAAACTCTCCTCAAAGTCTTAACAGACTTCTTTCTATTGGGTCAAAGAAACTGATCCAAAGTACAAATGCGCCAAAAGTGCTGCCAGCGATCAGGGAGAGGGGCTGTGCCACGTAACAGGGCTTCAAAAGTGACTTGTCCCAGCCAGGAAGCTAACAACGAATTCAGGTACAGTCATGATATTGGTGTGGAGCCTGAAGCGCGCCTCCCGCATTGTCAACTTATGTGTATCTCATACATGCCAAGGCATTCGTCACTGTAGAGTGATCAATACCGAGTAACCAGGGAATGCACTGGCTAAAGCTCAATGCCTCATAGCAAGCATAATAATAAAAGGACCGCCAACACCTTGCCAAAAAGAAACCATTCCTGGACTCCCTCCTAATCCCTGGATTTTGATTTCTTCTTTTTCTTCTCGCCTCCCTCATTATCCATCTCGGTCACTTTCCGCTTCTTATCCTTTTTCTCCTTTTTGCCAGTGTCTTCTGGATCTTCGATCTTGTCTTTCCTCCCCTTCTTATCCTTCTTCTTGTCCTTCTTTGCGCTATCCGGCTTCTGGGCTGCTGTTTCACTTTGATCGGTGGCCGTTTTGGTGGGGGTTTCGACTTCCATTTCTGCAAGGACCTTTTCCATAGCATCCTTCTGTGCGCGAAGTTAGCATGCGGCCATCGTTGTAAAATTGTCGCAACCTACCATCGCTGCCTCGTTTTTGGTGGGTTGTGCCCCCGAGGAATAAAATTCTAGACGTTCCTCAACTTGTTTCTTTAGTGCTTGCCCAAAGACTGTAGATGGAGTTTCGGAGAAGTTGTCAATCCTTGAGGCGATTGAGCACTTGTTTGCGAGAAATCGTGATATTCTTCCTTTGTTTTTCTGCCCGGCTCTTCCAATGAATGAGGAGTGGTATAACAGTCCATACTTAGGCGTGTTTCCTTTTGTTTTCAATGCCCTGAAAAGAGCCTTTTCCGCTCCCAATATCTGAACTGTAGAAGCGGGATATTTTGACAGGTTGGTCAGACTGCCAGCGTGAGAAATTAACCGGGCTCCCACAATTTCCCCGATAAGGGCAGCCAAGTTGGGCGCAACCACGCCCATCTTAGAGACGAGATAGCTGTGCAGTGTCTTTCGGTAATTAGCGAGGCTGACCACTCGTTCCGCAAACAAGGTCACATTTTCCATATCTGAAGACGAGATTTCTTGACCCATGCTTATTTTGGCCGCATCGATGATACTCTTTGCGATTTCCTCGTCATCATCTACTACTGCAGCTAGGTCGTGAAGGCTGCTGTCGGATAAGGTATTCTTGTCCTTGACGAATAGTGCTACCTTGGCGTACTTGTGGTTGTCTGAGACGATCTTGATGAGCTCTGGGAAGTGCCATGAATACCATTCGCGCACACGCATAGAAAAGGTGTTGATCGCTTTATCTAGCTGGTCGAGTATTGCGATAGCCTGAATAATATGGTTGTCGTTTTTCTGCACGGAAAACTTGACCTTGGCCCGGGAGTACGCATGGCCTAGACCAAGCTGTGCGGTATTCGTGTCACCTTCGCGGAGTTGTTTGAGGAGCTTCTCGGAGTGTAGCCGGATTCCTCGAAGCATGTCCTGAACAACTTCGCTTGTGTCTCCAGTCTCACACTCGATGTTGGGGAATGCTGTCTTGATGCTGGCCGCAAGGATTTTGTCCGAGACACCCAAGGTGATTTTGTTCTTCTTTCCAGCCTTTGGGAGGTTTAGTTCGAGGAAGGATTTGAGATAATCTGATGCGATGCCTTCAGAGATGTCGTTCAGCTCTGAAAGCGCTTGCTTTCCGCTCCTGAGGCATGGTTAGCTATGCACTTTTATTGAGTGATGATGACAGTCGTACTCGAATGGCAGGAAACTGACGAGGTCCACCATCTTCCCAAATCGTGCAAGATCTTGAACACTATCTTGAACCTCCTTCAGACGATTGCCGACGGTATCAGCCTGGTGGACGACCTTGAACACGGAATAGCCCATGGGCCCTTCATGCAGGAGAAAATCGGCCATGGCGCAACTGTGTAGTTGGGGATCGGAGGGTACAGGCTTCACAGTCCACCTAGGCTACCCAAGTCACACCTCTGGGAAGTCTGAAAGATGTAGCTGTAATCAATGTCTACTAAGGAACAGATGCTGGGAGAGCGTGAGTTTTACCTCGAAATTTTAAGACTCCCCCAGAAAAGAATTCCAGCTTCAGAAGTTGCACTGAGGATGCTCTGATTTGCGGGTTTTGGTCTTGGCACACAACATGATTGGCGTAAGTGCTCTCCGGCAGACCTTCCAAGATCAACAGAGAATCCTTGGCATGAAATTGTATGCAATCCCGCCATGAAAGTTCAAACAGGGCGAGTCTAGTGTTACCACCATGATCTGAACAACTACAAGATGTCTGGTAAGTCTACTGATCTTTTTCTGGCGACAGTGTATCTGACCATGTACAGCAACGCAGCTTTTGAACCCTAAAGCAGAATCTCGCCGGAGAGCGGAGGCACTTCGAATCAACATCAACGCGGGGGAAGGCCTCCAAGATGTTCTCAAGTCGAACCTGGGCCCATCGGGCACAATCAAGATGTTGGTTGATGGGTCAGGTCAAATTAAGCTGACAAAAGATGGTGCGGTGTTGCTGAAAGAGATGTCAATACAAAACCCCACCGCCACCTTGATTGCCCGCGCTGCAACAGCGCAGGACGACATTACTGGCGACGGCACAACGTCTGTGGTGCTACTGATAGGCGAGCTCCTAAAACAAGCAGACAGATACATCCAAGAAGGTCTGCATCCAAGAGTCATCACCGACGGCTTTGAAATCGCCAAAACAGAGACCCTCAAGTTTCTTGACACCTTCAAAATCACCCGTGATATCGACCGCAACCTACTTCTCTCGATTGCAAAAACTTCCCTCTCCACAAAGATCAACGCCGCTCTTGCCGCACAGCTGACGCCATCTATCGTTGACGCCGTATTAGCCATCCACCGGCCTCCTCAAAAACCCGACTTGCACATGATCGAAATCATGAAATTGCAACACAAACTAAGTTCTGACACCACCTTGATTCGAGGTTTAGTGTTAGACCATGGCGCGCGACATCCTGATATGCCGAAACGAGTCGAGAACGCTTTCATTCTCACGTTGAACGTCTCTCTCGAGTATGAAAAGTCTGAAATCAACTCCGGGTTTTACTACAGCAGCGCCGAACAAAGAGACAAACTTGTCGCTTCAGAGCGTCGCTTCGTTGACGAAAAGCTCAAGAAGATTGTGGCTCTAAAGAATGAAGTTTGTGGATCCGATCCCAAGAAGTCCTTTGTGGTGATAAACCAGAAGGGCATCGATCCACTGAGTCTCGACGTCCTCGTCAAAAACGGCATCTTGGCGCTTAGGCGAGCAAAGAGACGGAACATGGAACGTCTCCAACTCGTCTGCGGTGGAAAGGCGCAGAACAGTGTTGATGATCTCGATCCTTCAGTGCTTGGATGGGCAGGACTGGTCTATGAACAGACCTTGGGCGAGGAGAAATACACTTTTGTCGAGGAAGTGAAAGACCCGAAATCAGTTACACTTCTAATTAAGGGGCCCAACCAGCACAGCATCACCCAAATTACAGACGCAGTCAGAGACGGGTTACGAAGCGTATACAACACCATTGTGGACGGGTGCGTCGTTCCTGGGGCTGGGTCATTTCAGATCGCCGCTGCAGCACACCTTTCGTCAGAAGCGGTGCGAAAAACAGTTAAGGGCAAAGCCAAATGGGGTGTTGCTGCCTTCGCAGACGCCCTTTTGATCATCCCGAAAACACTCGCCGCAAATTCTGGACACGACATCCAGGACGCACTAGCCGCCCTACAAGATGAATTTGCTGAGGGAAATGTGGTTGGATTAGATCTCGTGACTGGAGAGCCAATGGATCCTGTGCAGGAAGGCGTGTTTGACGGGTTCCGCGTGTTGAGGAACAGTATCGCGAGCAGTCAGGGAATTGCGAGTAACCTGCTGTTGTGTGATGAGTTGTTGAAGGCGAGGCAAATGGGGAGACAACAGGCGCCTGGCGGGATGGATCAAGGAGAGTGAACTGCCCGCCCAAAGAAAGAATAAAAAGGTGTACTTTGCTTCTGCATGAGCCATGGCGTACGGCCCTTGGAATGGTATGACCTTCATGACGGAACGACGCTAAGATCTCATGCGTTGCCATCTCGTGAGGTCGAGGTCAGGGGTAGAGCAACGGGCGAAACTGTACTGCTACGTAGCGTTAGCTATCCGCACTGGAATCGAGATTGATACCCGTAAAGCCCCCAATTGCCACTTTGCTGTTTATTCCGGAGTGTCTGTCCAGTCTTGATATGAAATTGTGTCATAAGGTCAAATCCATCCAGTATTGAACCGGGTATTCCGTTGCCATGAAGGAATGCCGGATCCTTAGTTCCTGGACTCACAGGAGTCGTCCATTGTGTGTGTCCCTCTTGGAGGTCGACTTCGCACCTATTCGTGGAAGGAAGATCACTCATTCAGTCCTGCTCAACATCAAAAATCTCCCGACCACCCCATTCCAATCCGCTTGGGAGGCCATGTAACTTTCAGAGGAACACGCCATCTTCGGGCTATAGGACGACACCAAAACAAACCCCCCCCCCCCCCCCAAATGGTCTAGTCGCCGTGAGCTGCTTGCTGATTCCCCCACAGACCCGACATCGTGTCATTAATCTTCTGCTGCTGGCGGCGGATTTGGTCCTCTGTCTGGCCCCTGGCATTCCCTCTGGAATCGATTTCCATTGCATCAGCGTCGCCTTGTGAGGCATTCGCACCCATCGCTTCCTCCCCTTGAATCTGCTGTCCCTGATCGTTGAGGACCTTGCTTCCATTGACCATCTCGGGCTTGGGTTTTGGGTCCACGCTCATGGCACCGTCCATGTGGCCCGCCATCAGTCCGCCGCCCTCTCGCAGTTTGTTGATCGCACGGACAGTGTCGATGGCCTTATGGAGTGTTCTCCTCGCGTTGAAATTCTTCTTCACCGTTGGTAAAAGGTCTTGACCATCTCCGGGCCCTTTGACGGGAGATGTGGGGTCGGTGTCGGGCTTGATCCAGGGGTGTTGCAGAGCTTGGTGTGCAGTCATGCGAGCGTGCGGATCGATCGTGAGGCAGCGTTTGATAAAGTCTCTCGCAGTGTCGGAGACATTGCGCCAGTACTCGACAGGCGTGAATGAGTAATCGGCGGCAAGGATGGCTTGCATTTCTTCCAGGTTTGAGTCACGGTCGAACGGAGTATAGCCGCAAAGGAGAAAGTATGTGATAACACCGATCGCCCAGATGTCGCTAAAAGTTCTGCATCAGTCTTTGACGGTCGTGGCACGGATCAAAATGGGCTTTGCTCACACAGGTTTTCCATGACCTGTCTTTTTGAATATCTCAGGCGCCATATATCCTGGTGTGCCGCATGTCGTGGTCAAGACATGAAATTGTTCTTCGTCCATAATCCTCGACAAGCCAAAATCCGCAATCAAGAGGTCGGCATTGTCTTCTGGTGTTCTGAATAATAGATTCTCTGGTTTCAAATCTCTATGCACGATGCCGTGGTCGTGGAGATATGCAACTGCAGACAGAGTTGCTCGAATCAGGTCGGCGGCGTCAGACTCGTAGTAGGAGCCCTTGCGGCAGATGCGATCGAACAGCTCTCCGCCCAGTGCAAGGTCTGTCACAAGGTATACTGTGTCGATGTCAGACTGGCTCGCAACTCTCGGGGTGTCGAGCTGTACAATTGTTCATGGTTTCAAAGTAGTCAACTAGAGTGAGGATGTTGCGATGTCCCACCGAAACACGTTTCAAGACTGCGATTTCATTTCGCACCTGTCAAAGCTCCTGTTAGCTGTAGGGTCGCTGAGGGTGGTAGGGGGCCATTATTGACCATATGTTCCCGCCCGGCCATAAGCCGCTTGTTGATGACTGCGAATAGATAAGCCATGGTGAACGCTCTGTACAGTCCTCGAACATACCTTTTGCGGCATAGTACCTCCCAGTGTCTATGTGCACGCATTCTTTGACCACAGAGTATGAGCCTGCGCCGAGTGTTTTCCCTATGTAGAACGTAAGCAAGATGCTCCATTCGATGTCCGACTGATAAGCATACCAGTTTTGTAACGGCAAGGCTGAATCTGCGGCTTTTGTTGCCCTTGCGACGCCATATCCAGTTCTTCTCAAATATTCCTTCAGCTGAACTGCGGTCTAGGTAGAGGATCGTAGAACTGAAGGCAAGAAAGTGGACGCTGACGGCTGTGAGGGCGGGGAAACAGAGAGGTCAAAGACGAGCGGTACGCCTGGAGGGAACAAAGCTGGCTTCAAGAGCCCAGAAGAAAGCCTGAGTACGAGAGATTCATGAAAGAAGAGTTCTTTTGAGCAACCGCAAGAGAAGGTGACTAGGTGTGTATTCAGCTGATTTCTGAAATGCGCCCCAGACAAGCCAAAAATGCCGTCTAGAGGAACCACGTCGATGTTTGTTCGTCAGACAAACCAATTTGCATCCTGGGCTGCGATGGCTGCGCACAGCTGCGTTTGGTGGTTGGTGGGGCCGAAAGTCATTCAGGTCAGACGCAGGCACTCTTACTGCAGCAGGGAGGGGCACTTAAAATAGGTCACCCCGCAGCCATCGGGTCCGAGGGCTTCTTGTCCAGGTAATATGTGCCCAGTCTCCCGCAATTCGTTGAAGCTAGATCTTGCAGCCATAGGATAACTTCTGGATCAAAGCTTGTCCTAGAAAGCAGGAGCTAGAATCACAACAATTATCTCGCTGCCAGATATACATACATCGTCTGGACCTGTGATTCTCACGGGCGGTAGTCATCGGGCGGTGAAGCTGTGTCGACCTCCGCAGCTAAATCCGATGATGGCACGGGAATGTCGTCCTCCGAGCCTCTGATACGTATGTAGCGGTTCCTTCTCAACAGTGCCGTCTCGTGTGTCTCGAGGATCATCTCATCGATTATCGCACGAGGTCTCGAATCCATGATTGGGAGCTCGGGTTCGTCCGATTCTGATGGCGCGTCAGTGCCGATTTCTTCGCCCTCGTCCTCGCTGTCACCGATCTCGATAATTTTCCGCTTTCTGCCCTGAGCTGGCATATCACTTTGGGATGGCTGGGAGAGTTCTGTGGGGAGAAGCGGGCGTTCCTCTTCTTTCGCAACATTGAAAACTCCGACGTCATCGGTGAGGCGAGAATCAACTAGACCTTGACTGGGCGAAGTGGCCGGATTGAATTGCAGAAGGCCCTTTGACAGGATAGCAAACGGGATCGGGCCTGTGCAGATGTCTTTCCAGGCCATTCGTTGAACTTCTGCGTAACGCAAGCCTATTGACTGCCTCTCTGACATGTCGAGACTGTGTCCATCCTCGGCAAAGTCACGATAAAGCATAATTCGGGTATGTACCGCAGAGTCCCAAGCCTGGCTGGCCAACGCCGCTTTCAAGGTTGCCCTATTATGGCGTCTGAAGCTCGTTGTCGTGTTCGTTAGGACTAGGATCGCAATGTTCTTGAGGGCCGCCATCTTCGACATGGCGGCTCCAAGGTTCTCAATAGTTTGAAAGCGTTTCGACACAGCTTGCTTTTCAAACTTCTCCCTTACGGCCGCCGGAGCGGATACCTTCAAATTTCGCGGATTTCGTGAAAATGAGCCGAGGAGGAGATTGGAGAGGTCGTCGACGATGATCAAACACGTCTTTGCGGAGGGAAAGGAGTGGGGAGGATGCAAAAAGACTGTCAACAGACGAGGCAGCGTGTAGGCGCTGAGGTGAGTAAAGTTTTCTTCAAGGAGCATGTCGGCATTCGAAGGCACTGGAGGTGACGAAGGGGGATCAGTCTCAGCAGGGACTGTGGATGCACGCATCATGTCATCCAGTCTTTCTCCGATAAAAGGAGAGCCTGTATCGATCCACAGGACCTCCGAATCTTCCTGGCGGGATTGAATTGCATTGATAGCAGCTTGTAGGCCAAAGGTGGTCTTCCCCACGCCTGGTGGTCCGTAGACTTCAGTAACGTAGCCCCTTTGAATCCCAGGCGTAACCGTCGAGAGTCCATTGCGATCGTTTGTAAGGATTTCGTCCAAAGCTGGGAGACTGCATGGTATTCCTTTAAATTTGGACGATATATTTCGCAGGGCGTCAATTGCGGAAACTGTCGGCAGTCGATGCTGGGATGGGGAGGTTGAGAAGTTGTGGATGTCTGATTCTGGGTCCTGCATTGTTGGATTGCACAGACATGTTGAAGGTGATGCAGTTGAAGATGAATCTTTCACGGTCTACCTACTCTGGAAAGTTGGTATGTATTGGGCTCAATGGTTACGGCATAGCCTAGATAGCCACTTGTCTCTGTTTTATGGCGCTCGAAGTAGGTCGCTGTTACTGCAGAATATCCCCATGGTCTTGAATCAATTCGACCTTTGAACCTTGATATGGTGGGTTGAAATGACTGTCTGACAATGATTATTAACAACTAGCCGTGCACGTGTCCCTCGCTAGCCTTGAATATGTTCCCAGCGAATGCCAGCCAAGGAGGGAGGTAAAGCGCAGCATTAAATACCTAGTAGCTTTTGCAACTGCCTCTCTCCCTTCTTCCTTCTACAATATTTTTCACATTGTCTTGACTGTGAACTTGCTTACTCGTTCAGTGCTCCTCGTGAGCCTTCTGATGAGCTCGCCAGAAGCCGTCCCCATCGAAAGTCCGACTGCCTGAGGTACTTGGGGTAGCATGATGAAACTCTCAAGCACTCATGGTGTATGCAGGGAGCAGGCTGGCCAGCAGTGATGGATCAATTGCAGTCCGTAGACCAAGCTAACAGCAGGTTTGCATCATCATCAGAAGCATTTGCCCTGTCTCGCAGGGTTTGTCCAGAGAGGGAATAGCTCTGGTTTGTGGATGACCTACATCGCCAATGAAATACCAAAGGTTTGAGTGGAGTTCTTGAGCCGACATGATGCCGTGGGCCAGGGTTTGCCCTTGTGACCGTCAAGAGGGACAATTAAACCCGTGCTCGACCCGAATCTTAGGACGCGGGGCATATAAGGAACAGCATACTCAGGTCGAGACTGGAAGTTCGGAGACGTTGGGTTAGCGGCTGAATACCACCGGGGCGATTCCAGTTTTCGCGACCAAGAGGACAAAGGAAGAGTTATTGACGAGTGCGACAATGGCTGCCCGAAGAATTGCTCTCGTAACTGGTGAGTCCTTGTCCTTGTCCTCATCACTCGGTTGTTGGCGTTATTTTGTCGTGGCGGCGCTGAGCACGAGAAAGGTGGCAACAATGGCATTGGCTACGAGACAGTTAAGGCGCTTCTTCAATCCAACCAGCGATATCATGTCCTCATGGGCAGTCGTTCTCTAGAGAAGGCGCAGCGTGCGATGGAGAAGCTGCACGAAGAATGTAGTGGCTCTGCCAACACGGTGGAAGTGCTTCAAGTCGATCTCAACAGTGACGAGTCGATCGAAATCGCATTCGATCAAGTGAAGACGAAGCTGGGACAAATCGACGCACTCATAAATAATGCTGGTACAGTATCCTGCGGCTCGTTCGCGTCATGTTTCTCGGACCTGAGCTGACTCCCAAGCATATAGGAGCGACATTCGACCTCGCCTTCGTGGCCGGCGAGGTTAGCCTCCGCGATTCCTTTATGAGATCGTACAACGTCAACGTGGCGGGTACAAACGTTTTAACCTGGAAATTCATGCCACTCTTGCTCAAGTCCCCGGATCCTCGTTTGATCTTCGTCACAGGTCTCTCCAATGTCACACGAGCGAGCAGGTCTTATTTCCCCACCCCGCCTCAACCTGCTGGGTGGCCGAAGAAGATCGATTTCGAGACAATTGGGTATCGGTGCAGTAAGACAGCGCTGAACATGTTGATGGTGGATTGGAATCACAAGTTGAAGGCAGACGGAGTCAAGGTTTGGGCTGTTGGGCCTGGATTCTTGGAGACGGATCTGGGGAACGCACGACTGTTGGCCAAAGAGATGGGGGCGAAGCACCCCAGTATCGGTGGAGAGTTCATCAAAAGTGTTGTTGAGGGAGCAAGAGATGACGATGTTGGAAAAATCGTGGTGAAAGATGGGATCTCGGAATTCTGAGGCCCAGTAATCAATAGCGCCAGGCGAGGATGAAGCAGAAGAGCTCTAATCAAACATCACCATCGGTCAACTCCCAAGGAGACAATGTGTCCCTTGACCAATTAATACTTCTCCTGCATCGCCGCCCGTGCAGCGCTCATGCTGTCACGCTCTTCTGACACGATTCCTGTTGCCTTACGATGCTCTTCGATCGCCATGTCTCTTGCATGAGCGTCGGCAAAGTGACTTCCTTGTCCCTGGCTAGAGTGGTGGTGATGGTGCTCGGTTCCACCGCCCTGCTGAGTTCCCAGATGGTGTGCCTCGTGTTGATGGTGCCTTTCTTCAAAGCGGTCTTCGGTCCCCCTCATCTCCGCCAGGCCATGCGCGGCGATCTCTCGATTCCTCTGCTCACCCTCCTGTTTGTGGAAGACGCTGTCAAGTACCTCCATGGCGCCACCCCGGAGAGCATCACCTGCGCCGTGGATGCCGTGAAGTCCCGACTTGATGTCGTCAACGATGTTTTGGGTCGTCTGCTGCAGTTTTTCGGCCATTTTTGGATGGTGTCAGTGTGGTCTCTGCTCCTCTGCTTCGCTCGTGGGATAAGGGTAGCTAGGCTCAGCTGTGGGTAAAGACGCACACCAAGACGACGGGTAGAGCATGACTATTTGTACTTGGTACTCATGGGTGGTGAAGGCTGGCCACATGGATGTTGGCGGCACTAGCGGCACCAGTCGGTTGAAAAATGCATACGTGAGCATGACGTAGTTATCAGGAGACCAGTTGGCGCAGGCCTCGAGGCATATCAGCCTCGAAAGAGGGTCGCGTGCAAGAAGATGTTTGAAGAGTGAGACTTAGACAAGCAAGATTCGAAGACATGTCTGAATTGTTTATCAATGGCTTAACAGCATAACAGCCAGAAGACCATCAGAATCCATCATGGAGCCAAAGAGCACATGGAAGTAAGGTCCCTATTCGGAAAGGCAGTAACCTGCTCGCCGGTACCTCGGACCGTGTCAACTAGGCCCGTGTCCCCCTGGCTAGATCTCTTCCTGCCCCACAATCTTTGCTTTTCCCTCCTATCCTCTGCCTTGTAAAGTCACCAAGGACATTCGACAGCATCTATCTCCTCGCTAGCCTGTACGTAGTTAGTGTACTACTGAACCTTTGTGAATCTTCCTTGCACAACAACCCACAAGCATTCTTCGAAATGATGAGTCGGGCAAACCCAGATCTACCAGTTCCCCCTTCATTTCCATTACTTGCTGAAGTCAGAAACAAGTCAAGGGCATATGCCAAAGAGATATTCAGGAGCTGATCCATCCTCCGTAACATTTTGGCGCGTCGCGAGGAGGTGATTCGAAAACGCTGGGTGAACAAGAGAAAAGAACAACGCAAGAAAATTAATTCTCTTCGCCGCTCGGCCAGGCATGCCTGAGCGACACCGACCGGATTTTCATGAGCTTGAGAAGCCAGCATCGCGTGCTGTATCAAGAGATGTTGAAGCTTTCAAGTATCCTTATGTCAACCACGAAGATCTTCTCCAAGGACGAGCATTGTTATTGTTTCTTGAATTCACGCGGTTGAAATCCAGCCCATACCTTTGCCCACGCCGATCTCAACGCAATGCATGTTGGACAGACCAGCAAGCTGATTATCCCGGGGTTCCTCAATGGATACACAATGTACATCTCTGGCGAATCAGATGCAGGTAGCTATGGCCGCCTTGTTAGCTGGGACGATGCCGACGACGCATTCATGCTCATGCAAAGTGGTCTCAGTTTCAGCCAGGAACGGAGCTTCTCGTTCTGGAAGTCCAGAGCCAGATCTATTCTTTTCTTCTCGAGCGCTGTTGCCAATTATTCCATGATTGAAATATCCCATCGAAAAGGCCAACAGCGTGACAAATGTGAATGCCTGCCGCCAGGCTGAATTGGATAGATTGTGGAAGGTCGTCGATGAGCATTTTCAGAAACATACCGACGAAACACTTTACGAGATATTCCTCAGTCATGATGGGAAAGCTCGAGAGATCCGTCGTACGCCCGAATGGACACCTCCATCAAAAGTGTCCCAGCTGAATAACAAGGGGAAAGAAAAGGAAGCTCTTAGTGACTCTTTTTCCCGCCTTAACGTCGAACCCGACAAACCGAGCAGCTTCAAAGAACCCGGAGTATTTCGAGCACCTAAGATCAAAACTCGCGGCCTATCTCCCCTGCCTGATTCTAGCGAGGCAACACGAGCCCTGCCCGACGATTCGACTCCGCCCTTCCCAGTCTTTACCCTGCCGCGAAGCGCTTACAAAGTCTTCGCCTTTCTCTTCCTAACATCCTCTAGTCCCTCCCATGGCGGCGAAATTGCGTGGACGGATTTCCTGCACACAATGACAAGCATCGGCTTCGCAGCGGAGAAGTTATATGGCTCCGTATGGCAGTTCACTCCACAGGATGGATTAGATTGGGAGAACACGAACACTCGGGGAATTCATATCCACGAACCGCATCCAACGCCGAAGATGGGACTTGGCACGGCGAGACGGGTCGAGAGACGATTGGAACGGAGGTACGGACTCAGCGCAGAGAGGTTTGCTTTGGCGTGAAAGAGAAAATGGGGGATTTGAAAAGTGAGTATGGACGGGGAGAAAATTAAGGGCACAGCCCGAGTGCGAGTGGCTAATCACAGAGGGAAGATGCAGACGAAGGGAAAAGACAGGTCTTTCGCATGATACCACATACAGTTGCTCATGTTTGTTGGAAATACCAACTCTCGCAATCTACGACCAACGGCGAGACAACTGTGCGAAAAGTGACAAGTCTGGCCTCTATCATCTGTATGAGAAGTGTTGACCTTTAATTTGCAACCATCAAGCAATGATAACTTCATTCGCACAGACTCATCATTGTTGCCTTTATGATTTGCTAGACGACGTTCTATATACATGCTTTATGCATACCTATACTCATATTGGAATCATCATTCTAGCACAGCCTTCAACGGCGGGGTATTGGGCAATTTCCTTATCCATAGTCCCTCCTATCCGAGATCTCTCCATCTCCTTTCCTTCCCACAGCATCGTAGTCCTCTACCGACACAAGTTTAGAATCGGTTGGCGATCCTGTCGGCAATGCTGCTCCGGCGCCGACCGCCCTGGACAGCCTCACTTTGCCTGCGGATTGTCTCCACAAACTCTTTGTCATTGTCGACATGCCCATCAAATGACCAAAGTGAAGGGCAAGGACCTATCTTGCGGCGGAAGATGGTAGTCTTGATCCACCACGGCAGAACGGTGCCCACTTGATGCTTCATAAAGGTGCGGGTCGGAATGGCGAAGATATAATCAAGCTCCTCCTGTGCTCAAGGTCAGAAGTGTTACAGGAGAGGGACTAGGGGGTTAAGATTTGGCTTACCAAGGTTCTTTGTTTGGTTTCTGGCAGCCAGAGGAAAATCATGACGAGTGCACAGATGTTGAGACCGGCATAGAATCCGAAGGCACCTGCTGGACTCATAGCGGACAGCATTCGCGGGAAAGTGATTGAGAGGACGGCTGCCCAGAACAAGCACGTTGCCACTGCCCATGCCATACCCACCTCACGGTGTGAGAGAGGGAAGACCTCGGCTGAGTATGTGAAGGGCACAGGACCTTCGCCTGGAGAGTAGAAGGCTGCAAACTGTTGGAAAGGATCAGTATACTCCTTGTCACTGTGAGAGGAAGGACTTTTTGACGCACCAAGTAGATGAAAAGGGCGACCAGACCCAGATGCGCTGAACTTGACGATGGGATCAAATAGCAAAGACCTGCAGCGAGCAAGGTCCATGCCATCTGCGGGAACGTGAACAACAGGAGCGATCGGCGGCCGAAGGTGTCGATGGTCCAAATTGCGGGCCACGCAAATACAAAGTTCACGAGCCCAAAGCCCCAGGATGCCAACAGTGAGTCAGTAACAGACGCACCGGCCTCGGAGAACACAGTGGAGCTATAAAAGGCGATGATGTTGACTGTGCATCGAGTCAGTACATCGTCAAAGCTAACGAAGACTCATTGTACTTACTCCCGCACATTTGTTGTGCAATCATCACGGTGAAGGATGCCAAAGTGGCTCGGCGAACTCGTGGAATCGTGAACAACTGAATAAAGCGCGTCACATAGTTGGTCTTCTTCTTGACTAGGCTGGCCTCCATGCGCAGTTGAGCAAAGATGTAGTACAAATCACGGGCGGCCTGGAGATCGGTGTTTCTGAGACGCTGGAGTGATTGGAAAGCATTGCGGTATTTGCCCTTCTTGATATACCAGCGGGGAGACTCTAGAGGCCTGTTAGTTATCTAGTGTAGGTCGAAAGGTGTAGGGTCCACGCACCTGGGCAGAAGTATACTCCGATGAGAAGAGGCAAGGCGGGGATCAGAGCAGATCCAAACTGAAGGCGCCACGAGATGGAGCCAGTGTCCTTGACAGCCAGATTGGCACAAGTGCCCAAAAATATGCCGAAAGCTGTCCACATTTGCCAACTCATCACTAGGCCGCCTCGAACCGATGCAGGTGCATTTTCGGCGCTGAAGATGGGGACGGTTGAGCCCTTGCAGCCCATCCCAATGCCGAGCAGAAGTCGAGTGACGAGCAGTTGATCCCAAGCTTATGGGGTGTCAGCAAAGGAGTCCACACGAATGCCAGGGATGTACTTACTCTGGGCGACAGCAGAACCAATTGGGCTCAGGAAGCAAAAGACGGCAGACACAAAGATGGTTCCTCGGCGACCAAAGTAGTTGTTGAGCGGATCAGAACACCAACAGCCACTTCAACGGTGTCAGTATCACAACCTGCCATCGTGAGTCTAGGTGGCTTACATGAATGCTGAGGCGATGTAGGGGCCGGCATTGATCAGGCCTTGATACCACTGATTGCGTGCTGCGTTTGGGTTGGGTTGTCCATTTGCCAACTGGTCGCTGATCGGAATGCCCAAAGCATCAGGGAAGGAGAGGTTGGCGCCATTGGAGCCCGTCTGATCCCAACCCTGTACGGCTGCTCCGATCGAGCAAAGGATAATGGTGAAGTAGAGCGACTTGGGTTGACGCCACTTGTGCAGGACCTCGTTGCGAATGGCTTCTTTCTCCGACTCGGTAAGACCTGGAACGCTCTCAAAGGCAGGAGGGTCCTTTGCGACAAGCGCGCCCCTTACGAGGAGGTCTGTGAGGTCCGTGAAGTCATTGCTCCTTGAGAACTCCTCAACATCCTTGATGACTTCCTCAGTGGAAAGGTGAGCCAAGGGGTTTTTGATCCTATCATTTCTCAGCCACAAACGTAGGATATAGGCGACAGGAGGTTGTCCTACTTTGCCGTTGCGCTATTCTCCAGGTCGATGTACGTCGTCTCTTGCTTTTCACCCACATACTTCTCATCGTCGCCGCTTGTCATGTCAGGCACAATGCTCTGTGAGGGTAGGCAGGGCAGGTGCTTACCTGTTCGTGGCGGGATCGTGCGTGATCTGAGGGTCTTGCGATGCCATATTGGTACGGTGTCTGGTGGTAGGATAGGTTGGCAGGACTGATTGAAGAAAAGAAGAATACCCTTGGAGGGCTTATTCAGGTTTATCACTTCCAACTGGCAACCCACATGTTCAGGCGGGGGTAGACAATCATCGCTCACAGTCTCCACGGGGTCCCAGTGAGCGAGCAACGGACCCAGCTGGGGGGAGGGAAGATAGATGGCGACCTTGCATGGCTGGCACGCGCAGCGTCTTCGATGAGGAAGTCAGGATGTACATCATGCCCCGCAACCATGGGGCCGGGGTCTCCAGCAAAACGTTCTGTTGCCAAAGCAGTATCTGTAGCAGGATACTCGGTGGGTCGGAGGGCCAAAGGACGGTGATATTGGCAGCTCTTGTTGGTTGAAGCACTCACATGTTCTAAACAAAGGGGAAATGATCGAGCAGATCCATCGGAACGACTCCGGACCAGCGTTACAACGCGCTGAAGTCTCGGATGCGCAGATGACGATCGTCTACACAAGAACCCTTGGCTTTGTGGATGATGGTTGTTGTCCGGTCTTGACTATCTTGGATTCTCTGCCAATTGCGCTTAAGCTTTCTTGGGAACACTTGGGGCCCCTTGTGTTGGATGTGTCGATCTTGACTTTGTATAGCAACCCCGGTGAGATCGCTAGAGGCTCCTGGGACGGGTAGGCGGCATAGCCGTCAGCGCACGACGACGACATTGCGCATATGGAATCCTCTACTGTAACTGTCAGCAGTAACCCTGGCGCATTGAAGGAATCCTTTTGCTCTGAATTTAACAAATTAATAGCCGGCAAAATGCAGAAGCGATACTCGCATGGAGTCCATCAAGCCCAAGGGGGTTTGTAGACAACCACAACGAACACAACGAAGCGTGTCCTGTACGTCTTTAGGCCACCAACAGGAGCGACTGTGGAGTCTACCTTACAGTTCCTAAAATGTTCAATGATGCTCGTTCTCCGGCTGGATTGCCGGTTTTGCGCTGATCTACGGGATTTGATTGATTGTCCCACGTCGGTTGTAATGCCCCTCGACAACAAAAGCCGAAGCTTCGGGGAAAGAATTTGCGGGGAAACAGACAGCCGCTGCCGTTCATGACCTTCACCCCCAGATTTGTCGCCCTTTGGACTGATGCAGACACTTGATGGAAGGTTCACCTTCATGACGTCGGTGGACCGCAAAGGGTTTCTGACCCCAGATCGACGTCTCGTGTCAAAGCATAATGAAAACGGCAACACCTCCCGATGACGAGATTGAATAAGTGCAGGGCTGTGGATGGCGGGAGAGGTATACCATTCCGACATTCCGACGAACCACAGGGCGGCGGCAGATAATTGACGGTGAGGAATGCAAACTGAGTCATTGAAAGCGAGGCTGCGGTGGAATCCTGATCTCATCACCAAGGTTAGGATTTGGACTGAATACACCCTGTAGTCAATACAATCGAGATCTGGCCAGAGATGAGCAAACTATACAGAACTCCTTAGAGTGAGGAGCACAAAGTCATTCACTCCTTCATAGACATGTCCATGACTAGCTTGCCACCGACGCCCGAGTGATAGTCGGTCACCAATTGGTTGAGCTTCGGGAAGGGATATGTTCTGGTTTTTGCCTTCACGCCCTTCTTGACGCAAAAATCAAACATGTCTCCCATGGCTTTGTTGGAACCAATCAAGCTGCCAACCACGCGAATGCGACGAAAGACCAGGTCATCTGCTGAGATATGGAACCCCTCGGGAGGGAAAGATACCAGAACCAAGAGGCCGCCGTTCTTCAGCAGCTCCATCCCGTAATCGAAAGACTTCTGACTCTCGGGCAAGATGACTACAGCGTCCAGTCCCATCTCGGACGGATGCTGTCTGCCGTCCTCTGTGCCCATCTCCTGCTTGGCCTCTGCTGCGCTTTTGGTCGAGGCGTCGATAATCGTAGCACCAGTCTCCAAGCTTCGTGCCAATTCCAGCGCCTGCGACGCTACGTCAACTCCAGTTGTCTTCAGGCCCATGTTGGTGGCAAACTGCAAACCCAAGTGCCCAAGCCCTCCTCCGCATCCCATGATCCCTAGTCGCTGGCCAGGCTTGAGCTCACATTTTCTCAGTGCCGCGAAGATGGTGAGTCCCGCGCACATCAGTGGTGCAGCTTCCACGGCAGTCATACTGTCGGGAATTTTGGCTACTTGTCGTGAGTCCACCACGGCGTACTCTCGGAAACCTCCTGGTTTACTGCCTACACCAAGCCCGCCGCCAGCATTGGGGCAATAGACAGAATAGCCAGGCTCATCGGGGAGGGGGCCAGAAGGATTCTGGCACTCCAGACATCTCCCACAGACATGATTTCCACGGCCCGGGACAGCCACGCGGTCGCCCACCTTCAACCCGTGTGCAGGAGGCTGGTCGGCCATGCGAACGACAGTCCCGGCAAATTCGTGGCAGCCTATGTGTGGAAGAGGTGGAGGGCGCATTTTCCCCGAAGCGAGGACTGCATCTGTGTGGCAGTATGAAGCCGCATCTACTTTGATGAGGATGTCATGTGCACATTCGATGGCTGGCACCGGGAGATCGCGCAGTTGATAAGGCGTGTTGTACTCCTCCAGTACATGGGCTTTCATGGTCACCGGCACTTGGTCGTTGGCCATTTTCGAGAAGATACTGGGATCGCAGGCACTGACCCAGCTAGCCAAGCTCTTAATCTGGAAGAGCGATGATTGCGGAGCAGAGGATCTGAATGTAATAAAGACATTGTGAGATTATGCTGCGGTGGCTTTGTGGCGTGAGAAGTTCTCCAACAATGGGGAATTGTGGGTGATACCTCCATATCAGCTGGCTTGAAGCTGTGAAAGCTGGTGAGGCTTACAGATTGAGGGGGAGCTGGGGACGTGAATGGTACGACGCGGACAGGGTCTTTCTTGGCGCGGTGTTCTCGGTACATGCACACCCATCTCGCCATCCCATGTCACTTTATTCATACCCGGCTCGGTTCGCTGCAAGTGTCATGTATTTGAGCATCTTGGAGCCTGGTGCTCAAGACAACTCGAACGTCTGGGCGCAGCGAAGGTTCTTACAACAACAACCAGACACCACCAACACCAGTCTATCTAAATTTCACATCAACAGCTGTCGCACGATTTAGTCCGCCGTACTCTCCCTCCTCGCCTCCCTCCCTCCTCAGCCGCCGTTGGCCCGTCCTTGGTGGGTACCTAGTCTTCTACGGAACACGGAGACCCTACCCTAGCCCATACACAGACTCACCGTTGATGGCCACCATGCAAGTCAATGTAGGGCAAACGGACTCGCTCCTGATCTCGTGCGATACTAGGTGTGCACCTGAGCTCGAGCTCAAGTAATACAGTCACTGACCTGGTTATGCGAAACGTCGCACATGGGGCCCGGCATGAATTCTCACATGACAACTACCCCCAGGTTTGCTATGTACAATATCATGCGATGTGGGCTCGCCGCCACCAAGGCAACCTCGAGATGAGGTATGGCAAGATCGGCTGGCCCCAGGGACGGGCAAGCCTTGACAACCCGCGAAGGCTTTATGATCTCAAGATGAAAATTTTCGTGATGGTGTCTGCAATATCTATTATCGTCGATGATACACACCGCGACGTCGCCTCTAAGCACAACTCCCGGGCTGGCTTCCGCCAACGAAAGCGAAGCTGTGATACCTCCCCTTCCCATTGATCTTCAAGACCTGGTGGAGATCGCTCCTGTGGTCAATCCCGCTTCAGGATAACCACTAAACAGGTGAGGTCACGCCATTCACTCATCGGAAATGCTGATTTTGCGATCAAGTCATTCCCAGTCCGGGTCCATGTGACACCCATTATTACAGCCTGGTTCCTTGGACTTTCTGTTCCCTATCTACCAGCATAAGAGCTTGAACTCGAATGATACAGCTGTGTACACCAAGAGCTAATTTAAGTGACGATGGCAAGAAAGATGAAGAAAGACACTGCCATCATCATCGTGGGCGCCGGGGTCTTTGGATTGACCACGGCATATGAGCTGGCTTCCGAAGGCTATCACAACATCAGGGTCCTGCATCGGCATGTTGCCCCACTAAGGAAAGAATCTACCTCGTTTGAGAGGTATGCTAAGTGTCCAAAGGTTCCTGACGGCTCGAGCGTAGACATCTCACGTGTGATGCATTTCGACTATGCAGATCCAGACTATCTTCGCCTCGCCTATGATGCGTATAAGAAGGAGTCACAACATCCTAAGTACAGCCACACTCTTGTACCGTCGGCGTTTCTTCTTACCAGCAACACGAGGAGTCCGGGCACTTACATCGACAGGACCACAGCAGCATTGGCCAAGGCAAGTCTACCATGGAGGAAATTGGACACTGCTGAGGCCGCCAGACGACTGTACCAGGTTCTCAGCGGGCCCTTGGCGGGTCCTAATTTTGAATGTTACCAGAACGAGCAGGCTGGCTGGGTCGACGCTGAGAACGCCGTCACCTAAGTCCGCAACCAATGTCTCGAACCCGGGGTATCCTTCGTCACAGGCCCGAGCTGGAACTATGGTCGGTCTCCAGGTGGACAGCACAGGCAAGGTTACTGCACTGCGAACCTCGCTGGCACACAAGTGTTGGGAGACTTGTTCGTTCTCGCCGCTGGGGCCTGGACCCAAAACCTCGTTGACATGCACAATTCAGTCCTTTCTACTGGCCAGGGCCTAGCATTCTCCGTCTGACAGACGCTGAAATGACCAGGTACTGCAATATCCCCATCTACATCAACTTTTCGATGGGATGGCTTGTTTTCCCACCCTACCCAGAGATAAACTTTCTGAAAATGGTCGTCCATGCCTGGGGCTATACGCGACCGCTGGGCAGTGAGGAGGTCGCTGCCCTGGACCCCAAGATTGCCAGCAATTCGTCGCCATCGCTTTGGATACCCTAGGGCGCGTAGTGTTCCAATTTCATACCTGAAGATGGAGAACACCGGCTCAGAGAGGGTCTCAGAGAGGTACTTCCAGAACTCGCCGACCGTGCATTTGATAAGGTGAACGTTTGCTGGTATATGGGTACTCCTACAGGGGACTTTGTCATAGGATTTTCATCCAGCTCGTCGTATTGTTTTCATCGCTGGTGGGGCAATTTGCAGCAAGTACAAGGACATTTGACTTGAGGAAGGCCACTGACTAAACGTGCCACAGGCGCTTTCAAGTTCCTTCTGGCTCTGGGAAGATACGTTAGCCTCTCGATACACGGGCGTCTTGAACCTCGGTGGGCGCACAGATGGCAGTTTCGAACAGAGTACCAGTCACACGAGCGAAGGAATAATGCGTTCGAGAGTGACGGCAGTCGAAAGGGACCTGCGAGACGAGAGCTGTCACTTGAAGAGCGTGATAAACTATAGCAGCGTTCATACTCCCGTGAATTGGCTTTCTTGCTGGTCCCCATGTCTGTCCATCACAATTACCACGAGATAACTAACCATGGAGCTTTGTGAGTGTCGCAGGAGGGATCGTAGCGGTGTGTCGACACTCGTCCATTCGAGGTCAAGTACCATAGAGGCTGGAGTTGCTCTGGACGGCACCAGTGTCGAGGGAATACGCTGATGGTAGATTGACTTTTCATTGTGGAACAGGCGGGCTCTTAGAACTGCAGAACCGGAATCCAGTGGCCGTGTCCCCGTGCCGATATCGGCGTCTCTTTTGTGAACTGATGCCTTTAGGCTGGAAAGTATCACCGTGGGAACAGACTGTCCTGGTAAGACCTCCGTAGAGTCAGAGTAAACGACGATAGAAGGGGGGCCAGAGGACTCGAGTACAGACAGACACTCGGCAGCCAGGTTAACGTATTTGATGCCCTCAAAAGCGTCAGACTTAACCAAACACTCCACTGGGTATGTAGCTACCTACTGCCTACCTCGCAACTACCGAGGTAGATACCTGGAGTACCCAATCGAAGCCACAGGACATGCATCAAATGGTCTTTGCACTCATCATTTCTATCTCAAAGATTGTTCGTTATGGCCTCATCGTCACCAGCAGAGTCGCCCGCAGGATCATTGTCATTTACCTCATTGAACGACGAAAAGCCGACAACCATTGTCCTTCTCCACGGAGGCTTTACATGCCGCCTCGAATTTGCGCTCGTGCTCCCGCACCTCTTTGAGTTCCACGTCCTTGTCCCTGACCTACCGTTACATTCTGCGTCACGCCACATTAAACCAGGCACGACCGACAACTCAGCCTGCTATGTCGCACAACTCATTCGATGGCACGCCCATGGCGGAAAGGCACACGTCGTTGGCGTCTCCATGGGAGGCTACATAGGCCAGTGCCTCGCCTTGCACCACCCCGACCTCGTCCTCTCACTCTTTGTTACAGGTGCTGCGCCAGTGGTCGGAATACGCCTATTCATGGCGCGCTGGACAAGGCTGACCTATTATACTATGAGGCTTATGCTGCATTGGCTCCCCGACTGGGTTTACCGGTACCAAGCTTCGCTACTTGGCCTGAAACTCAGCGACGAATTGGTGGCTGAGATGAGGGACAACATCACTTGGGAGTTGGTCCAAGATATGTTCCCGTGGATCTTGTCGTTCACCCTGGATCATGTGCACCAGTTGAAAGTACGGACACTGTCTGTTGCAGGGGCGCAAGGGGATGATGTGCCTATGATAGAGAAGACGGGCGAAGCGTTGAAGGGCACGCGGACTGAACAGGATGTAGCGTGGCCTGAGGATGGGTCGGGAGCAATTGTGCTAAGGGAGGCAACGCATGGATGGGATATGCAGTTTCCGGAGCTCTTTGCCCAGGGGGTATCGGCCTGGGTCAAGGGGGAGAGATTGCCCAATGAGTTTGAGAGGATTTAGGGGCTACAGAACTCTATGGCAAAAGATGTCGCCACGAGATTGACGTTTTAATTGGAATTTCGGTGCTAGAATTCCAAAACCAGCGTCAAGGACGGCTCGCATCAGGGATCTGGTTGGTGGCAGAGACTGAGGCGCTTTGATACTGATGAAGGACTGTATCTCAGAGCTGAATAGCACGTCTCCGTCGAATTCGGCGAGTCGTGGTCGAGGCCAGTTAACCAACTCCGCCTTCGCACGATTTCCTCGATTCATCCCAAAGAGCACCGCAGACCTCAGTAGCATGCGCCCGAGGACTTATTGTTGAAGGATACTTCAGGAAATTCCGGACTCGGCATGTCGAACAGATCCGCGTACTTCGCTTCCAGTTTCCCATGGAAGAAGGAGGCAATATATTCCCGCAGAATCGTCAACATACGAATCGAATCAATGGTCCCAATGAAGGCCTCAACGGCTGAGTCAGTCCGGTTTGTCCCCAGAAGCTGTGACAGGACCGGGAAGTCGGTTAGCGGGTTATGCGCCGGCCTTCCACCGATATCCAAATGCTACTTTCGGCCCGTCTGGTAGGGCCAATTCTCCGCCAACGAGGTATTCCACGCCGGGTGGTTTCCAGCAGTAAGTAGGAGGTACAGACGAATGTTGATCAAGGTGATCCCGTCTCCCCAAAGACCACCATCTCTGTTGCAGCCAACCCGAAGTCGAGGCTCCGCCAGCAAGGCATCGACAGCTGTAGCGCCTCCCAAGGAGTGCCCGAATGTGGCCGTTCGGTCGGTGTCCAGCGAGGGTATTCCGAGCTGCTCGCAAAGGGTACCGTTGGTCACGTTGTCCAATACGAAGGAGACGTCGGCAATGCGAGGTTCAAGTAATGTGAGGATCTTGTCCGGGCTTGTAACATTGACATTTTCTACATAACTGTCGTCTGGGTACTCGACGATTGTACCATCATGGAGATGATCTATTGCAAGTACATTGAAACCCAATGAGGCGACCCACCGTAGGATTACAGCATATACCATACGAGGGGTCAGGTGGCGGGGAGAGAAGAATAGAAGCGGTGCAGTGTTGTTCCCTGGCGGCTCCGGGCACACTTGTAAGCTGGAGGTTGTCGAAGCTTAGATTTGGGAGGCAGCGTCCAAATAGGTCTGTCAAGGCTGCCGCCGATGTGGGCGGTACGTAGGTGATGTATTCAGTCTGCTGACAGGTATTTGGCGGATATAGTGTCAACATCAGCCGTCGTGGCTTATTGCAACACGGTGCAAAAGGGTTCACTCGACTCATGTCGGTCCGAGGAAAATGAGTGACGTGGACATCGGCCGACCCGGGAGGAGTTGTAAGAAAGGTTGCTTGGACTACAGTGCCAAGAAGGCAGGGCAGACAGCTAGAGAGCGCATCATGACCAGGACCTGAGAGGTGGTGGCTCTTCACAAAATACCATAGTGCCCTCAGTTGTTGGGGCGATTTGAGCAATAATATATAGACTACGAGGCATTTACATTGCCCACTGGAAAGCGCGGGGTAGCGTCATTAATCTTGAAAGTAGTTTAAAGGGAGCCCGGTAGTTTGAATAGTCCTGAGACGGCTATAGAAAACAATGGACAGTATCTTACAGACCATTCCATCATGTCCTCCGGCTAAAGTTACAAGACTATATCGGCACTTGATCAAGTCCAGATTTGAGCGCTTTGACCGTATGCCGAAATCCGTTGGCCGGCGTAATTGAGATGACATGGATGGGATAGAATCTCACATCCTGTCCATTCTGCAGAGACCACCATTACCAATCAGGGTTAAGCTGAAAGGTCGCGGTTAGAAAGGTAATCGTAAACGGATATAGAATGGCCCCCACAAACCCGCAGCTCGCCGCTCCACATCACCGAGTTAGGAAAGCGGGTGCCGTAAAGCACACCACGTCGCGGCTACCTTAAGCGCAGGATCTACCAGTGTCCGCGAGACAGCAGGCTGGGGGATCGAGATCTCCCAGAAGATTGCAGCTGGTCGGCTCATCGGACCTAATATCTACTCCGTGGGTGCTGAAATCCGCTGCACAGGGGGTCACGTCGATCATCGCATCATGCTGGAGCACCACTTTCACGAACTCAGTTGTCACTGGCCTCCGCTTGTCGTAGCAGACGAAATCCGTCAGTGTATTAAAGTGGCGCGATGACATCTACGTCGTGCCGCCAAGTGCATCAAGTTTTGCGCCAGTGGAGGTGTGTTCAGCGATCGTGACGACCCGAAGCACCAGTAGTTCTCCGGCGAAGAGATCAAGGTCATGGTTGAGGAGGCAATCGGGCCCAGCGGTCACTGGCAGCACACGGCCATGGTCTGGCAGACATTAAGGCAGCGATTAGGGGGTTCCACCACAATCGAGCACGTAACCTGTCTAGATGACGAGGCCATTGCGCTGATGAAGGAGAAAGGGATCAACTTAGTCCCTGCCCGCGAGATTATGGACGACAGCTTAGCCACAGGCGCTCGACGAGGGCATTCGATAAGTCGAAACCAGTAGCAGAGCGGCATGCTAACGCATACCGAGCTGCGGTGGCTGCCGGCGTCAAGATAGCCAGCGGGTCAGACTATGGCATCAGCAAAAGAGACACCCCAGTAAATCACGGCCACAACGGTAGGGATCTCGAGCTGGCACCTCATGTGGACGGTATGACCCCCTTACAGGCGATCGAGGCAGCTACAGCCACTGCTCCAGAAGTTCTGAGCCCTCAAGCTCTCAAGACAGGCAGTTGAAGGCAGGTGATGATGCCGATTTCATTGCGCTGACGTCCAACCCATTGGACAATATCAGTGTTGTCGCTGACCCAGACAGCATCACACATATCTAGCTCTGAGGATACGCAATGAAGCCTTCAGAGAAGCCGGTTGTAGTCCTGACTCGGACTAAAGAGTGACAGAGGCTCTCGATGTACGTAATAAGCAAACATGCCTGAGTTCCGTGTTGCTTCTGTATCTGCAGACATAAATCGGTCGATATATGGCAAGAGTAAAATACAGAAAAAGGTGCTCTGACGAGAAGTAACGAAGTGACAGATTATGTAAGTGAAGTATTCTAGTTCATGCTGAGAATCCCTATCTTCGAAAGCCTCGTCTGATCCCCCCATCCACGGAACACGGGACACGGAACTTGGATCATCTGCCTAAGATTGCCCACTCAGGAGTTACACAACTCTCAGATGCAAGCTAGTAATTGGCCACTGGTCACGGATGGAATTGTTCCAGCTGCATCCATCCATCTAGCAATCGGAACAGAGTAAGTCTCCAATCGTGTGAATGTCCAGTCACATTTGGAGACGAACTCCGCGGCTCTGCTGGTCCTTCCAACCTGGAGTACTTCAAAGGTATAGATAAAAGTCCCTCGAAGCAAGCTGCATCATATGTACATTGATCTTGAGGTCTGATCCAGTGAAACCCATTAGAGGGAAAGAACATAGTCTGGGTGGCGCGATCCTAGCTGTGCCGCACTAACCCCTTCGTTGAGCCGATAGTCTCGACCGCCGCGAGCTCTCAACTTGTTCTCTGAATGATTCAACCACATCAACAGTACCGATAGGGCAACTACCATGACAGTCATAGCCAGTTCCACGCCATTAGCAACATTGGTCTTTGCATTTGCGTAGGTGAAGGTCGAAATAATTCCGCCAGTCGTCCCTAGCGTCACGGCAAACGACATCCCGGTAGCACGGACATAGTGAGGCTGCAGATTACCGATCAGCCAGGATGTGGTCGAGTTGATGATCGGGTAGATAGAACCCGCGACCAAGAAGAGCCCGAAGTACCTCACTGCGACACCCTTGCATGTCATCTGGATGATCCAGCCGATGATCTCAACACAGCACGGGCCAAGCACAAAAGGCCCGCGGATGTGAACGTGATCCGCCGCGATCGAGGTGATGAAGACACAAATGGTGCCGAATATGTACGGAGGCACGCTGAGAAGCTGAGACTGGATCGTGCTGTACCCAAAGCTTTTGATGATGGCGGGTGAGAAAAGGCTGTACGCGTAGATGTTGCAATACGTTCCGATGCTGATGGTGGAAAGAAGGATTGTGTTCCAGTCCAGAAGCCCTAGTTTCACTGCTTCCCAGGTGAACTTCTCTTGTTCATGATTGACGTCGATGGTGTGGCTGATCTTTCCTGACCTGATTCTGGCCACCTCGCGCTCTTCCTCGGTCAGAAACCTGGATTGGCCTGGCATGTTTGGTAGGATGAAAAAACAGATAACCCCGACGATCATGGAGATGGCCCCTTCGATGAAGAAAATCCATGGCCAGTGCCTGTAAGATCCGACTTGAATTTTTCCGAGACCAGACGCGAGTAGGCCACCGACTGCACCGCTCAAGGGTGCAGCACAGTAGTAGACAGCCAGACGTCGCTGTAGATGATCGGGTGGATAGAACATGCCCATGTAGATGGCGATACATGGGGTCAACCCCCCTTCACAGAGCCCGAGAAGACACCGGACTGCATATAGTTGAGGTGCAGTCTTGACGAATCCGAGGCAGATGGTGCAAGTGCCAAACAAAAAGATGCTGATGCAAAGAAAGGGGCGAGGGCCGATGATCTTGAACACCAAGCCGGCCGGAAGGTCGACAATCAAGTAACAGATGAAAAAGAGAGCCAACGCAACACTGTAGCTCTGGCCTTGCAGTTTGAGGTCGGCGTTCAATCCAGCAATACTGGCGTTCCCAATACTAGCCCTGTCCATGAAGGAGAAGAAGTAGAGAAGGAACAAGCATGGGAGAATGCGGAAGTCGAATTTTCGGTTCAGGACCTTTTCCATAGCAAGCTTTCCCTGCTCGTTCACTTCAGTAACGTCAGATTCGAGTTTAACCCCCTCTTCAACATGTAGGGGAACTGCAACCATTGTTTTCGCTTCGGACGACATGGTTGGAAAGGAGACAGAAAAGTAAGAGACCGAGCAAGTGTCAGATATTGCAATTTCCTGGTCGAAGAGAAGGCAGAAGGAAACCACAGCAGACTCTGGGGCAAGTTTTATAGCATTCCCAAGAGTCGTAGTGCTTGATATCTTGTGAGTTAGTAGAAAACGGACTTTTTTGTATAAGACAGGGTCGAATCCAATAAAGACAAAGGCATTAGAAGGAAACTGGGGAACCATGACCCCAGATCCACCGGAGCGAGAACTCGGCCTTGGCCGACCAAAGTTTGGCCCAGACGGCCCGCTTTCGGTACTTTTGGCATGCGACGGGACCACATGGAGACTCTGCTATGGAGTTTCTGGTGAACTTAACTGACCTTGGGTCGGTGCTTTTTGCCCTCGATAGGCCGACCATGTGTTCCCGAATCCAGCTCATTCTCCTCCCGAGGGCGCCGAACCCTATGTACGTCTAAGTACCTCGTTCAGTACTCCTGTCTTTCTCATGCTCTGATTATTCTCGGAGGACATGTTTGGCTCGACAATTTGCTGCCGGTCGGCGGGTCATTGTGGTTCGCCCCTGTCTCCGCCGACTATTCGGGCAACCTCCCCATAACGGCGGTAAATACCACTTGCGGGTTGCTTGTCAAACGTGTGGTGCTGGTCAGAGTGGAGGGCACTTTCAGGAGCTGGAGCGTTTCCATCGATCATTCTTTCTCGCGTTTCATAGCTTGAATTTAGATACCGTAAGTAAGCTGTACGGGAGTCATCAGCATAACCATCAAGTGTTCCTTCGAGGACTGTCGCGATTTCGCTTGGTATAAGAAGAGTGACGGACCAAGGGAACACCGATAGCTTGTTTGGATAGTTCATCCTCATAATGGCCGTTCGCAAAACTGCCCAGTGGGTGATTGACCCAAACAAGGGAATCGCAGGTCTTCAGCTTCAGGAGAACGTTCCGCTGCCTGACTTGGGGGAGAGTCAATGTCTGGTTCGCATCGAAGCAGTCTCCTTAAACTACCGCGATATTGCCATTGCCCTGGGCCGATACACATTACCGTTGAAAACAAACTTTGTGGCCTGCTCTGATGGCGCTGGAGAGGTCGTTGCGGTTGGTTCTGGGGTGAAGCAGTTCAAGCTGGGGAACAGGGTCTGCATGAACTTCATGCAAGACCTTCAGGATGGCATCGTGACCCCTGAGATCCGGCAGAGCTCGTTGGGGAGTCAACGAGACGGTGTTCTACGACAATATGGAGTATTTGAAGAGACGGGTCTTGTGTTGATGCCCAAAGACTTCTCATATATTGAAGGGTCCACCCTACCCTGCGCTGCCCTGACTGCCTGGAATTGTTTGTTCGGCCTCGAATCCAGGGCTCTCCGGCCAGGGGATTTCCTACTCACGCAAGGAACTGGCGGTGTCTCGTTATTCGCGATCCAGCTCGCATTGGCCATTGGCGCGAAGGTCATCGCCACCACTTCGACGGCAGACAAGGCAGAGAAGCTCAAAGCATTGGGCGTCCAACATGTCATCAACTACAGGTCCAACACTGATTGGGGAGAAATTGCCAGATCTCTGACTCGAGACGGGCTTGGTGTGCATCATGTCGTTGAAGTTGGCGGCGAAAATATAATATCTCAGAGCTTGAAGGCCATTAGACCCGAGGGCGTCGTGTCAATGGTGGGGTTCCTCGGTGGAACAGGGAATAGTGAAAGCCTACCCAGCATCGCTTGGATACAGCGGCAGCTCTGTATTGTCAGAGGGATGAATGTTGGTCCGAAGAGTATGTTTAAGCAGATGAATGCGTTCCTTGAAGAACACAACATCAAGCCCATCGTCGCGGATCGAATATTCAAATTTGAAGAAGCGCCGGAAGCCTACAAAGAAATGGAGAGGCAGCATTTCTGGGGCAAGATTGTTATTCAGGTTCAATGAACTATCCACTCGAAGTATCACTCCATCATGACTTGGAAAGGAGGAGGAAGAGGAGGTCCGCGAGTAAGAAGAACTTGTTGGCAGGAAGAGCCATGGATTTACTGTCTGTTATATCTATCACAACAATAATACATAGGCTGTCGCTTCAAGCCCCTTCAACAAAAGATTTGCCTCCTGCTGCATTGTCAAAAGCCATACGCTCTTGAAGACCCAGAATATTGAATAGGTACTTGACACCTGCCGTCTTTCGAGTGTCGCTGGCAACTGGTCTTTGATTCTTCTTCAGTTCCCTCATCGCCTCCCCCACCATTTCCGTGACTGGGTCTAAAGCCACGGAAGGGAAGATCACAATCTTGAAGCCCAGCTTGTTGGCTTCCTGAACACTGAGGTGGGGAGTGATACTTCCAGCCACCATATTCAGAAGGACAGGCGTGGGAGCTAGGTCTTTGCAGACACGACTGCATTGTTCCATAGTAGTCATGCCCTCTGGGAAAGCAACATCGGCGCCCGCCAACACAGCATTTCGGAGACGTGAAACTGCAGTCTCATAGCCTAGTGATTGGATCGAGTCGGTACGCGCGATGAGAACAATGTCTGCTGAGCCTCCAGACACCTTGCGCATCTCGTCACGGGCCAATACAGCTGCCCGGATCCGAGTCAAGTATGTTTCTTCATCCACCAGCTCTTTGTTTGCCAGATGCCCACAGCGCTTGTTCTGGACTTGGTCTTCAAGATGCATTCCCGCCACACCAGCAGAAATATAGGCGCGGACCGTCCTGGCCACCATCAGAGGTCCGCCATAGCCCGTGTCGGCGTCTGCAATAATGGGGACTGAACGGTCCAGTGAGGCAATCATTCCAGCATTTTCCACCATATCATTCATTGTCGCAAGGCCGAGGTCTGGCTCACCCAACCTGCATGCTGCGGTTCCGGCTCCGGTCATATAGAGCGCATCGAAGTCTTCTTTCAATGCCAGTCGGGCAGTGATGCCGTCGTATACCCCAGGACAAAATATGGTCTTGTCTTCTTGTAGGAGCTTTCGTAGTTTATGGGCAGCCGGCATACCCTGAGACTCGGAAATAGACCCCATTGTCGTTGTTGCAAGAGCGACTGATATGGACAGCACGGATAGAGGAGACTGTATACTTGAAATCTTTGCTGAGACTCCGTGCAATATGTTTCAACTATAAATCACCTACAGATTTCGCCTGGGTTCCGATGTTCCAACAGCAGGTGGGACTGGACAGGGCAGGGGAAATGAGGTTGGTGGCCGACACGTTAACAGGCCGAGAAGTCGGTGAATTTAGTCTGTGAGACGTGTGGTTAGTCCGTTGGAGAAGGTGAGTGTCATTAATGCGAAAAGCAACTCATAGCATGGATTCTAGCTCGACGGACTGCAAATAGTACTGTGGTCGCGGCTTGACATACAAAGGCAACGTTGAACAAAAAGAAGTTACGCACGCACCTTGGGTTGAGCGACCAGGAAAATTCATCGACTTTTCCTGCAACACCTCCAGAATCCCTTGACTACAGAGGAAAGATGGAACAGTTGAACCATCTCCCTCCTACAAGAAGACTCGTCACAGGTCACGATCGAGATGGAAAGGCTGTTTTCGAGTTCGATGATATACTCGCACCTGTCAATCCAACCCCGAAAGGCGCGAGGTCCGACACCTCCGCACCTCAACCAGTTGGCGCGACACTGATTCACCGTACTCGAGAATATCCGGTCAAAATCCAAGGTGGAAGAGAAGAGCTCACTGTGGACAATATACGTCGCGGCCAGGGCGAGAAGGGAATCGTCTGTCAGATTGTGGACGTTCCTCCCACTCCAGAGGGCACAAAACCATACTTGCACCGCAACGAGAGTCTCGACTACGGTGTGGTGCTGAAGGGATCACTACAGCTACTCTTGGACGATGGAGCTGTCGAGACTCTGAGAGAGGGAGACGTGTATATTCAAAAGTAAGTGTGCCTGATGGTGTTTGTGGACCATCAGCCCACCCAGTATTGAAGAGCGCCACTGTTGCTGACCAAACCATCACAGAGGAACACTCCATGCCTGGCTGAATAACTCCAATGATTATTGCCGTTTTCTGACTGTTGTCATCCCATCTCAGAAGGTCAAAGTGGAAGCGACAGGAGAGCTTCTGGAAGTCACGAAAATACCAGGATTGAGTGACTGATACATTGTAAAGAGTGTCGGGAAGCTAGAAGGTGACAAGCCCGGAAGAACAGATATGATTGTGTGCAGCAATGGTGTAATGCTGAACCTATACAAGGGACGATGTCCATGTTACAGGTCTCACAGAGTTTGACGTAGCATTGTGAGATACGAGCTGTGAACAATGCCTTCCCTCTTTTCAGCCTGTCCTGGAATGGTACCCGCCTTTCTTCAGGGTCTCGGTCCGCGTCACAGAGAATACCGAGGAGTGATTAGCGAGAACAACCGATATTGATAGATGGTCCCCACAGTCCCAAGAACTGGCCGAGTTTTCGGATAGTCTAAATTGCGAGTCCTACGCCCACATGGAATAGTTGAACAATTTCGTACTGAACTTGCTACATCGCACGGAGCAACGGTGTAGCGAGTTGTCGGCTTTGCAGGATGCCACGGACTCGCAGGGATGATCTACCGGTCAAACATACCATGATATTCCATACTGTGAGGTTTGACACAGGAACTATACTCTGCGCGCTTCTCATATTTCACTGACTTTAGGGATTATAAGGAGCAATGCCTACCTGACCTATTTGTTTCAGATATCGGACTCGACTACCTAGCTACACCAAACTCCAAATATTCACGATATCGTCCCGAATCTATTCAACAAGATGATCTCAAAGGCATTGCCTGAAGTGGACCACTTTGTCCCTGTTGAGCCAACCAAAGAGAAGCTCGACTATGCCGACCTCGATGTCTTAGATTTCTCACTCTACAAAGACACTCCCGCCGACAAAAAGGAACTTGCAAAACAAGTCCACAAGGCCATGACCTCGCATGGGTTCTTCGTAGTCGTCAACCATGGAATCAGTGAAGAAACCATTGAACGCATAGTCGATATTGGCCACACTATTCTGTCACGCACCCCCCAAGAGGAGAAAGAAAGACTCAGAGCAGATCTCACTGGGAAAGGAGAATATCCTGGATTCAAACCTCGCGGGCTGTGGAAGACACTCGGGGGTACCCCGGACAGGATCGAACAGTTCAACGTGCACAGGGACATGACAACCCACGAACAGCCCAAAGCCTTGGAGCCATACCGTGATGAGGTCCAAGAATTCATCGACACAGTCCACAAAGATATACTCTACAAGATTCTGAGACTCTTCGCCATCTCCCTCGAGATTGAAGACGAGGAGTTTTTCGTCAAGGCTCACAGCTACGACAAGCATGACGAATCCTGGTTTCGCTGGATGGAGTACTATGACATTCCAGCCGAAGGGGCTGCAGATGAGAAGAAGCTATGGCTTGGTGGTCATCAAGACTTGACCTCCCTTTCACTTCTGTTCAGTCAACCAATGGCGACTCTACAGGTCCGGGACTATGGCGACGAATCACAATGGAAGTTTATCCCTCATATTCCTGGCGCCATCATCGTGAATGCAGGCGAGCCGATGATGTGGTGGACGGGAAACTACTACAAAGCGGCCGTTCATCGAGTGGTTGAGCCCCCTGCCGACCAGAGAAACCATGATCGCAGCAGTGTCTTCTATTTCGTTGCTCCCAATGATGAGGTGGTCATCAATACACTTCTCGACGAGAGTCCTGTTCTGCAACGCCATGGAGTACGGAAGTGGTTTAAGGACGGAGAGGCGCCCACGAGCAGTGAATGGGTGCACAACCGCATCAAGGCCAACCTGACAGCCCATGCCGCAGCAAAGCATGGTGAAGGGAAAACCAGTGTTCAGAAGATTGGGACGGTGACCACGACGTGGTACAAATGAGTGATTACCACAGTAAGAATGCAATCAAATTGGGTCAAGTTTTGTAAATAGGTGTTTACCGATAACAACTATTTAGTCGATCAATAGTTTCCCATCGCAACCAAATGCTGTAAGGTTCCTCAATCAGACGCCTCACAAGCACTGTGGCTACCCCATCCCAGTAGGATCTTACACCACGGAGAGCGAAATCTGTTCAGAGCCAAGGACGCCAGCCCTATCAAACACCTCATGGCTCATGAAGTTGATAGGAATAGAGCCTGTTCTCGATGGCTGCTCATACCAATATCAAGGAATGAAAGATCTTTTTCCAAAGATACGGATTTCCAGCTCTCTACCGAGTAATATCACGATGGTATAACAGTATCTACTTCACTTCAAGCGAGAATACTAAATACAGGAATCGGGATTGGACTTGGTCTAGACCACGAGCAGCTTGCGTCCGGCATCGCTAACATTCCCCAGATCTCGACACCGATCGACCAATATCTGCGCTCTCTCCACCGGCAACCATGGAGAAATTTCTGCAAGAAACCTCCTCGTAACTGCCGGTCCGTCCAACCAGGGCACATCTGGTGCCGCCTCGGTGATCACAGTGCCGTCCCTGAAGAAAATCTCAATTTTGGCGGGTTGCAAGCCCTCTTCGTAGCTCTTTTCGAATTCTTGGTTTGTAGACACGGACATTTTGCCCATGAGGGAATTGACCACTGGGTCGTCGACGCATGTTGACGTGCCATCGTCGAAGCGGCCAAAGACGAGGCCTGCGGCGACGCCAAACTGGATACTAAGTTTCCCGCTGGTTTTGCTGGAGAGTGGCCCGGCGTCATCGCACCCAGGGTAAGCGAGTGCACCGGGCGTTGTGGTGATGTGGATTTTGGAGATCTCATCTGCATTCGCGGTTTTGGCCTGGAAGTCCTTGTGCATTTTTAAAGCAATGGCGGTGGAGGCCTGCGTGAAGTTGCAGCAGGATGCAGGTTTGAAATGGGTTTCGAGAATCCCTCTACCCAGGGGAGAGGTTTCAATCCAGCTTCTGAAGCGATCAGAGGCGTTCGAATCGACCCCCAGAGCGTCAAAGTAGCCATCCTTGCCTTCGAGGACGACATCACTCACGGGGAATTCGTTCCGGCCAAGGTCGTAGCTGGTGATGGCTGCTGCACTTGCCGACCCATTATGAATATAGATTTCTCTGCCTCCCGTATGTGCCCATGCGTTAATACCACATACCATGTTGATTGCCAAACACAAAATCCGCATGACCGCCTCATCATGCTCGGGTGGACTACCTGCAATGAGAGCCCCCGCCGCAGCGAACGAGCCGACCAGAGCAGTGCTGCGAAAGTGAGTGTTGAACTGCCCTCCTCCTCGAATGGAATATCCCAGCGCTGCCCCGACATCGTACCCTCCCACGATTGCCCGAATGAGTTGCTCACCGGTCCAACCATCGCGTTGGGCAATGGCTAAGCTGGCAGCAATGACCATAGAGCCCATGTGCGAGCATGAGTCAAGGTGCATATCGTCACGAACTGTGCTGTTGCCCCAGATCTGTCAGCTTTTTTCTCTGGAAAAGCTTCGGCAATCCGATATGGGACTGATAATAGTGGACCACGTAAAGAATCATCTCACCTGTTTGACAGGGCGGCGTGTATGAAAGCGGCTGTTTCAGCAGACATTGCTTTGTCACTGCCGAAGACAAATGCTTCGGGGTTACCGGCATGAAGCTGTGCGTACTTCAGCAAAGGCGGCCCGAGATCGCCACCAAGTCCAGCCTGACAAGCTCCAAGGAAGTCCAGGAGACATTGAGACACCTTATCTCTTACTTCCTCCGTCAGCTCCTCCGAGGAGATTTGTTTAAGCCGTTCCGCCGCGAGCCGCGTCAACGGTTGTCCTTTGTTAGGTTGCGAGATCATGGCATATACCTATGGCTACAGGACAAGCCTCAAACAGAATCCTGTGTGAATCTTTGTTGAAATGAAAACTGGGAGGGGCCGTCTGTTGACAATAGATGGTACCCAAGTTCACCACTGTCAACTGAGATATCATCCAACAAAACCCACTCAAGGAGCTGCATGGCCTGATGCTTGATTTATCCACAAGTCGACACAGCCATTGAGGGGACAAAAGGTCAGGATCGTGTCGGAAATCGATAGATGCTAGCTCCGAGGTCTGGGTAGAAGGGCCGTAAAGGCGGCATTGCCGCGGGCTTGAATAGTTCCCCTAAAGAGATAATCACGTAGTGTTCTGAGCCTTTCCTCCTCGCCAGGCTTCGGAGCTAAATCAACAGCTCTGCCTCTGGGAGAGTAGGAATGTGAGGCAAACATCCCCACTATTCGTAACCCCGTCTTCTCCGGTTTGGGGGATTAGTTCCACAGCGAGTGCTTGGCATCGAGGAAGAGTTTCCAAGCGCCGAGTTCTCGGCCAGATTGACCGACAAGTCGGCAAGTAGAGACCACCACAATTTCGGTGGAGAGGGACACCTGCAATGTTCAGATCTGATGGGAGTCATGTCCAGCAGATTGACCAGGAGTCTAGACTCGTAGTCATCTGAAGAGTACCCCATGACACCAAGGCGCCAGAGTCGAAGGAGAGAGTCGTCATGGAGAAAAGCCCACTTTACTTTGTGCCCATGAGAACTTTCCCCAGTCATACTGAGCCGAATGAACCACTGCGGGATGGTTTGAAACCCCCGTTCCCGCTCAAATGAGAACTTTCAGTGTCAAGCCGGACGTAGCTATATCGACACGGCAGACTCTCCGAAGTCGTGAGATAGTTCAGTGGACAAAAATGCGTTAGTAGACCAGTTCCACTCGGAGAAAAACGCATCATCGTCGACACCTAGATGTGTGCCGCCGCCGGTGTCGAAGTCGGATAGTTGAGTGGTAGCCTGGTGAGCAGAAGAGACAGCCTGTGTGTTAGAAACCAAAGGTCTCTGGCTTTGAGCGTGATTGCTACTGTTTTCTTCCGAGTATGGGTTTGACTGTCCTAAAAATTCTTGCCGCCAATACCAGAGACAGTCGTATACCACTCCCATTGCCTGCGACGCCATACAATTAGCCTTCCACAGTCTATAGCAGAAACGTGTGTCTCATGGCTTACCCCTCTCGTCCGGATTCGAACCTTGAGGCTGTCCATCGACCCATCATGTCGCGTAAAAATGCGTTTACTTCGCCATAGCTGGGACAAAGTTGCCGCCATTCGAGCGTTGAGATCATTGTTCTTCAGGGCTCTCTTCTTGAGTATGCGAATCGCCGCGAAGTAAGACTGTTCGCCAAGGGTATAGTCGATTGCCGAGCTCAGTTCCGTACTACGGCATATTCGCAGTATCACCATCGCAGCGAGGGTGAGAGTCCTGTAGAATTGTTCGGAAAGATAGAGAGCGTAATCGTCCTTCTGATCTCGAGACGTGATATTGTCAATAAAGGCACAAGCCACATGGTGTACCTCGACCAGATGTGAAAGATTTGAGGGCAATTGCTTCAAGATAAAGAAATAATAGGCTCCGGTGTGCAATCTCGCAGAGGTGAAATAAATCTCGGCTGTCAACAATCAGCATTGTATTGTGAAACAGCAAGTAAGGGCGAGGAAAGTCAACAATATGCCATACCAAGTTGCCCTTGTGTCTGCCGCTTGAGCTTTAAAATCTCGTCGTCGTAAAATTTGATCATAGCCAGAAGCTGGTAAGGCCTCTCAACGTCTTGTTCTCCATATCCGCCTTTCATTAGAGTGTGATTAGCATTGGACATCATGTTAGCAAACTGAAGCATCCAAAAGACTGGTCTGCTTAGAGAATCAAGAACATCGTTACTCTGTTGGTCCAGGTCGAAGGCGTCTTCAAAAACGTGATGATGCAGGCCGCAATGCGTATTGACACTGAGCAAAATTCAGAATTTATTTGTAAGGGACGCGCTCTGGGATCTTACGTGCTGCAGATCAGCTTGCACCATGCCCACAAAGTGGCGAGAAAGATATCGCTGTTGGTATCTCTGATCAAATGATTGGGTGAGAAGTCTTGTCTTCTACTGAGCATGTGTAGACCATTCTGTTGGGAGAGCTGCGTTATGACCCCTGCATAAATAGGCGAAGGGTCATCCGATGCATTCTCCATAGGTAAAGGCCAAACACAGAGCAGGAGTAGGGCAGTAATAGTTGGAATATATTCGGAAACCCTTGTTGTTGCCAGTGCTGCCAAGTTGGAGACTTTGGGGACTAGCACTTCCAGCAATGTGGGATCAAGACTGTATCTTCTTGAGCCAGTCACTATGACGGTCCAGAATAGCAATGGGGAGTATTGGAAGCATTCGCGGCAGCTTTGCTGTGGGTCCAGGATTGGTATCATTGAGTGATAATGGCTGAAGTACCTGTTCGTAGTCAATATTGATGAGAAATGAAGCTAGGTATGAAAATCAGTACTCACAAGGAATAGCAATCCTCCAGCTTTTGAGGCTCAATTTCGAGACCATCAAGAGGCGAAGGGAAAGCTGGGATGCGAGCGCCAGGTTCTACTAATGAAGCGATAGCAACAGGCGAAGGATGGTAGGAATATTGAAATGCAGGTGGGTGTCCAGCCGGATTGTATGGAGCGGCTGAAGTGAGATCCTGGCGTGCGTCAGGCTCTGGAATTGTGGTCATTGCGGATGGATCGTTAAGCGATGAAAAGAAAGGAGTGAGCCGGGCGTCAGATTGCGGTACCACTGCAGAGGCGATGGACGTGGGATGGTAGAGACATGAACGTGCTGGAGGACCAGGGGGCATATTTCCGAGTTCTTCTGCGTTCTCTGTGAGTTGTAGTGCTCTTCGAAGTCCGTCTATTTCACGCTGCATCTTCGCCTTCCTACATCGTAGTCAGTTGGAACGACACCATGCCGAAGAGAGGAGGTACAAACGATCGTGTTTTTCGCCTTGTGAAGTCCGCTATGAAGTTGCATTGGACGCCCGACTTTCTACATTTGGAACAGGGCTTTGAGTAATCAAGATGCGCATCGCATCTTATCTGACAGGTGTGAGCTGCTGTCTGGGCTCCCCGAGAGATAACAATGATTTGGAGCATAGAGACCAGACTTGACTAACCTTTTGTTGCCGACACTCTTCACAAGCTCTGGGCCTTGTCGTTGCTGAACTGGATGCCGACATAATTCTCCAACCTTTCAGTGTATGTGTCCTGTGAGCAAGTACGCGTTGATCTTGTGAGAGAGATTGGAGGCCACAAGTGTTCTTGACTTGTTGATTTTGGCCTGCGGATCTGAATCAAGATATATTAGGCTAAAAGACGGTCCAGACAGCTGTTTTGAAACTGATCTTTTGGATAGAAGGAAGAGACGAAACAATGCTTCCTTCGCACTTAGAAAGATGGAATGGCTTGAAGTGGGCTTGGACTGGTCAAGAAGAGCTCTAAGGGCCGGTGGATCCAGCGAGGACTAGTTTCCATCTTATACTCCATCCTTGGCTCGAAGAGAACAACCTTGCCACCCCGTAGATTGTGGGGTTGATTGAGGGTCAAAGGTTGTCTCCCAGTTTATCCGAGGTTCAAACTGACCTGCACAAAGTAGCATTACCCACGTTGTGGATAGATCATAATATACATTTTTGTTTTCCGCACAGAGCATTATAAAACATGTTGAATTTGAATACCATATCGAGTGACGGTTGGTTCGTCGTCAGGGTATCTCTGAAGGTCATCATTGAGCAAACCGTAGACCTCTGCAGGAGGCACGGTTTTCATTAGTATCGTTAGGTTTGTCCCAGAAATAGATCATCGTCTCGGATGAGAATTTCCGGGTTTCGCTTGCGACGCAGCCCTTGCGACGCAGCCCTTGCCTTAGTGACTCCGGAAGAATGCACCGAATACAGAACGTTCTTTGTATGAACTTCATTCGCTAGGGGCTTCACTTGTTGCAGTCGTTGGCTTCGACGAGGTGAAATGGACGTTTCCACAGGTTGGCGCTGTGCTGGAGTCGTCTGCGATAGATCGGAATCCAGTGCACGAGATTTGTCATTATTCGCATCGACTTTCGACCGTTTCGAGATCCTGGATGACGGATTCGGACCGAGGACAGACGTAGGGTGTACATCTTTTCCCCGAAGAAGCCACTTTGTTCTCTTGGAACCATCTCTTTGTGCAAGGTGTTGAGGCAGAATGCCTACACACTCATTGGCAGGATGCCCGCAGTCGGCCGCGATAGCGGGATATTGGTCGTCAATCCACTTTACGAAAACTTTCCATCTCTTGACCTCGAGCTGCGCTGCGCGTAACTTACCCTCAGCACGGGCCATAATCCTTTGGGCTATATGGAGGTCATAGCTGTCTCGGTGTCTTTTCAACTCTCCAGGTCCAGATATAAGTCCCGTGCTGACTTCTGTAGAGTGAAGTTCTTGTTGCGCCAACCCAATTAGGGCTGTTCTTCCTTTTGACTTGTGGTGCTTAGCAGCAATCAATGCCTTCTCTACAGATTCCACTCCGGATCTTGCTTGAGCCACCTCTGTCTCCGGCGCAGTCATCTCTTTCGATCGGCTGTAGAGGACGTTTGGGCCAGTGATGACATCGGTTAATTGTGTGTGTGCTTCCATTGCCTCAAGAGTCTCCTCCCTTAATAATAGGGTTTGCTCTTCATATTCGTTCTGTTTCTGAGATGCCATAAGTTTCCGATAGTACAGCGCCCGAAACTCGTTCCAATCTTCCAACCGGGTCTGCCGGTGTCGGTCCTCCAGCACTCGGAGATCCCATTTACGTCCTGCATCCCCTTAACTCTCCTGGACGATGGCTTCGTACTCCTGAAACCTATTTGGAGGAGCATAATATCTCCGCTTCCGATCTTGATATTCCCGGAATTCTCTCCATGTGATGAGCTGGTAACGGAATTCTTGATAACACCCACTTCCTCTAAGATGCTAAAACTAAAGGATGTTACTATACTACTCGTACTTATCCGGGTTATCAATTCTATCCCTCTTCTACCCCTTAAGGTTAACGGCTTCCGCTAAATATTTTTATTTTATTATAGCTATTTATATAGTATTTTTCTTCCTCTATCTAACGTAGGTCTCCTTATCTCTATAGCTAGTTAGGTTATTAAGATATCGAAGTCTAAAAATACCCTAACTCTATTCTAGTCTAGCTAGGTGACCCGTCTACATATAAAATAGGTCTTAGTATAAGAGGTTAGGTTATCTATCTACGGGTAATACGTCTACTAATAAAAACTCTTAGTTATCCTCTATCACTTTCGCGTCTAGTTATAAGAGTAAAGAATTTCGCTATATTACCCTATACTATCAATTATCTATCGTTTTAAGGGTTATAACTTATTTAGGATACTTAAGGGGCCGTCTAAGCTTAATTTCGACTCCCTATCTAAGAGGACCTAGGAATACTAGTAGGATTACTACCAAGGCGGGCGGAATAGACTAATTAGGGCGCCTAGATCTAGAGATCTCTATAGGATTACTCTCTAGGATTACTTTCTTCTATATCCGCGCTAAGCGGGGGGATTAAGGTAATAATGGGATCGCTAGAATACCCTTATCGAGGACTATCGATCGTAGTTAATTACACTATTAGGCGATATATAGTTATTAAGCTACGAAATTAATAGGGTATATATCGGTAGGTTAGATATAGCTAATTAAGTAGAGTTATATTACCTAATTATCAGAGCTACTTCCTATATAGCCTAACTAGGTTAGGCTTCCTCAGTTATAGTTCCTTTATTATATAAGCTAGGTTAAGAGTACGTAAGGTATAAGCGATCGGATGACTTTCGAATAGTATAGTGAAGTAGATATTATAAGTTAGCTACGAGAGAGTGTAACTATAAAAGGGTAATAAGCGTAGCTATATACTTATAAGGTATATCCCGAATAGGTAACTAGGAATAGTATATTAATATATTAATATAGTAGTAACGTACATGATAAGCGAGTGAAATAGATAAGCGAGTGAAACACCCTACTAGATTTTCGCACCCTCCAACTTTGAACATGTTTTTCTCTATAACGTATTATATCAATAGTTAGTAACGAACGTCAAATAAAGCTTACTCTTTAAGCTATCAAACGAGACTAATCGCTTAGTGTACGGGCCGCGGTAAAGATCTATAATTGTAGTTACGTTACCTTATCTCGTCGACTTAAGGGTACTTAGTCTCGAGGCGATAGTATACCTAACTTACGAAACCTAACTTCCCTAGAAGAGAAGACTATTATCTAATATATACTTAACCTCGATGCGCGATCCTACCCTCCCTAACTCGCTAGTGTAGAAGAAATAACTAACCGACTACTAGCGGAGCGAAATACACCGCCTATTAGGAAGCGGTAGGCGTTAAACTTTATTAAACGACAACTAGAGCTCCGGACGCGTTTTCTTCGTCGGTATGACTATAGGAGAGCCTAGTGCGAAGATCCCGACGCGATTCGCGCGTAGTTTTCGCTTATAAAGAATATAATCGCTAAGTATAGTATAGCGGACGCGGATATCTATAACTTTAACGAGATCGGGTTTATAATAGGTATTATTACTATAAGGACCGTCGTTACGAATACCGAAAGGCGTTTATATGCGAAGCTAGTCTAGCTAGGTAATCGGGAATAGGTAATAGTGATTTAGGGTGTTAATATGTAGAGCTAGATAATCCCGCCGTATATTATCGTTTCGGGTAAATTTTATCTCTTAATCTAGTACTAAAATAGCACCCTTCTAAGGGATTAGGTTATCGCTACGTCTTTAAATAACTAGACTACGAATAAGAGAGGTCTAGAATAGATTTAGTACTTCGATTAGTATATTAAGCCCCGGAAAATAGGTTGATATCGTCTTCTCGTCCTTAATAGTGTTAAGGCTGCTTCCTATATAGCCTAACGGGGTTAGGCTTCCTCAGTCACAGTTCCTTTATTATATAAGCTAGGCCGAGAGTACGTAAGGTATGAGTAGTCGAGTGACTTTAGAATAGTATAGTGAAGTAGTTATTATAAGTTAGCTACGAGAGAGTGTAACTATAAAAGGGTAATAAGCGTAGCTATATACTTATAAGGCACGCCCCGAATAGGCAACTAGGAATAGTATGTTAGTATACTAATATAACGTACATGATAAGCGAGTGAAACAGACAAGCGAGTGAAACACCTCAACCGGACCACCTAGACATTTCATGGCTATACAGCACTACAATACATTCTATTGTTTACAACTACTTAGAATCCTCTTCTTTAGATGAAGAGATAACTACTTGATATATTCTGGAGTTATATCCGACGTTATAGTAGATACTATACCGCCGCGTACGCGTTTTAGACCTCGTCCGTTGACTACCATCACCCGACGTTTCCTACTTAATCACTACCGTAATGCGACTCTAGGACTCTAGAAGCTATCCTTAATGTAGAGTTATACTCCCTCCTTCGCGGAGTTATTTCTTTTTAGCCCGCCGACGTCGGCTTAGTAGTGCATTCTCCTATCGAAGGGTATTAACCTTAGACTTTAAAAGTGCGAGATAGTGTATGATTCCCGTCGCCCCCTTTATAAACTAGTCGATCGCCTCTAGAATCGGTATCGGAGAGCTTCCTTAATGATAAGAGACTCGATTCTTAATAAAGGTAGACTATAAGCCGGCTTTAGTAGGGTTATTAGGGGTTTTTAAGATCTATACCTAGGTCTCGGCTTAAGCCTCTATATTAGGTGTTAGTATCCGTAACTTCATATTAAGACGTATAATTACACTTTCCGGGTCGAAGGGTAGTAGTCTAGCCCCTCTAAACCCTACCTAGACATTAGCGATTATCATTACTTACTAGAATGCGGCTAGAAAGGTAGGAAAGAAGTCCTCCTT